TCAAAATTGCATGACGCAGATATTGGAAACTCACCTTGGAAGATTTCCCTTTTTTCTGTTAGCTGTTAGTTTGATAGATGAAATGACAAAAAAATCAAAGACAAAATTATTTACGTGCAAAACACGGTTCTCTTTTTTATTGTTTGGCTGTTTTCCACCTACCCCACCCCCAGAATGTCCAATTTGAGTTACATCAAAACCTTTAATTAAAGAAATTAAACAATTAAAAAAATAATTTAAATAAAAAAACTTTACCAAAAATGAAGTATTTTATATTTTGAAACAAAATTTTGTTTTTTAAGAAATATTTTCCTATCCATTTTCAATTTCCACCTATGACCTGCCTTGCAAGCCATTTTGGCTCATCACAAATGTGCAGTTTTTGGGCAAAAAACAAATCAAAAAAAGAAACAATCACTTGAACTTATCATCTGGACACTGTAGAACTTTAGCAAAGGGATTCTGTCCTGCTGGGGAAGGAGGGATCCCCAACTTTCCACATGAACCTGACTTCTCATTCTTTTTTAGGCTTCCACAACATGGTGACCTTTCCTCTGAAAGCCACAACCCATGGCCAACCAGGACATGCCTAGCTTGAAAGGTCATGACTAATTTTGCCTGTCATTGGGCTCTTGAAGGGTAGTAATAAGGCAAAGCAACACCTCGTCCCTGCAGCTAGCAGAAATTATCAGCTCATTCATGCTTAGATGCTCTCCCTTTCATTTCTTCCAGGGAAGCAAGGAGAAACTGCTTCAAAGACCCATCTCCATTATCATCTGAATGCCTTGCAGAAAGTTTAAATTCCAACCTGGTATATTTCTCAGTTTCTATGATTGCATTTGATGGTCAAAACAACAATACGCTCAAAACACCAATTAACCAATTTATTGCATCTTACCTTTGTCACTAAAATCTGTTTCCTGAACCAGCAGTGAAAATCAGCGTAGGTTTGCTGAAGATAAGCTCATTGGTACAGCTCTAGTTCTGATCCAAGGTATTTAGAAATTGTTCCTGCTGTGTGGCAAGGACTCTCCATTCAAAGCCTTTCATCATTAATTCTGCCTGCTTTCGCTGGGTCAGTCTGGAAGGAAGTAGCGACTTTGTTTCTTTAAGAAGGAAGCTCTGGAACCACTTGATTCATTGCCATTGCTTTGTTTATAGCATTGTGGCCTGATCTAAAGTCCACTGAAGCAAAAGGGAGTTTTTTCAATTACTCCAATGGGCTCAGGTACATAATGCAGTACTTTGTAGGACTTCAGAGGTAAGTCTGGAGGGACTGAAAACTACTGTAGCATTCAGCACCCTCGAAGTACATTTTAAATCAACTCAGGCATTTACACACCAGGTAAAACTGAGTAAAACTGAATGTATAGGACTGTTGGGACTCTTAGGTTTCCACCTTACAGAGTTATGTAGGGCTACTTCTCCTCTTCTGGTTTTTACTTAACTGGAAAAAAAAATACATCAGTGTGAAATAATCTATCCAGAGATTGAAGCATTTTCATTGAAATGGCTCCTGAAGTGGCTCCTATTTCAGTAGTCTGCAGTGCCCTGTCATATGCCAATCCAAGTGAGGGAAGATGGTGTATCGTGGCAGTTGTAGCCATGTGGAAATACTGCCATTAACTTTCAGGGTGCCTCAGGGCTCCCTGGAAAAACCAGAGCAAACACATTAGCAGTATTGCAGAGCAAGTACTTTTTGGAACCAGTTTTATCTTTTTTTTTTTTTAATTGAAAAAACGCCAAACACAAAACCTACTATTGACAGTTTTGACTGAAAACTAGCCCTAAGGAAGCTTTCTACCAGTCATTCATTGCTAGGAGTTTGATTCATGTGCCATCACTTCATGAGATGTCAGGTGAAGCCCAGAAGGGAAGGGGCTTGCTGGTGCAGGGATGCTCAGTGAACCCATTAGTGTCCCCAGGGTGGGCAGGGGTGTGGTACCCACCGGGGTGGGTGGGCTGCACCTTGGGCATGGATTTGGAGGGGTGTGGGTGCTCTGCTCCCCCCCAGACAAGGGAATTGCTCAGCTCCCACCAGCCCTGGTCAAACTGAGTCCTCTGAAAAGACTACTCTGTACGAGAGGTACAGAGTTGGTTGGATGGGAGCTGGGAAAAAAAAATAAATATAAAAACCATCCAGGCCAATTAAATACAGTTCCTGGGAGCAGCACTGCTAAAAAGGGTGGTCTGGTATTTTTGGTAACAGTGCCACTGTGGGTGGGGAACCCACACTGTGAAAGCACCAAATGTGGCCTTGAGATCTGGGGTTGGAGTGCTCAGGTCTGATCACAGAGCTGAATAAGAACTGCAAAGGCACACATGCACTGAAAATAGTTTATATTTTTATTTTTCAGTAAAGGAAGAACAAAAACCAGTCCAAACCAGTCCACACTATGGATTTCAAAGACGCCTAGGAAGGACAGTAGCATGGAGGTATAACGATTTAGTGACTGAAAACAAAGCAAAAATAACATTTTGCAGTGAGGCTGTATTATAATGTCATCAAAGAACATTAGCTTGGAATGGCTTGAAAATGCAAAGGATCTACAAGAATGAACTGTAAGCTCCCCCTTGAGGCAAATGTTCATATCATTTTTATATGATGTTTGTTTATTAATTCAGTAACAAAATATGCCATGCTAAATAAAGGGTATGTGTTTATTTTGCTAAGAGATGTAAGTTAGCTAGCTGTGAGCAATGAAATGAACAGAGCATTTGAAGTTTTTATGGGGAAATATTCACAGTGTATGTCAGTTTTAAGACTGTTTGTAGTTAAACAAACCTCTGTTTCTTTTAGTCTCTCATGCATTGTATTGTATAGTCAATGTACAGTAAATGGAACTGACAATTTTACAGTGTAACAATTATTTATCTTTGCATAAAAGTTTGATACAAAATATTTGTTTAGTATTTATTTTCACTCTTAACACAGCTTTTGAACCTCAGGAACAAATATTATTTTATTAAATAATGACATGGTTGCTGACAGAAACAGTCACCATGTTGTGACATCAGCCTGATGTGGCAAAATTCAAGGATTCATCAAAGTCCTTTCCTGTCATAGAATGAATTCATTTTGCCAGGGAATGACTATAACTTTTTGTCATATTGGCCCAAGGTCAACATAAATAACTTGGAAAGTGATACCTCATTAACGCTGTGCCCTTTAAAGGCAGCTATTAATTGTTACTTCATTAAAATATTTTTCTGATGGAAAAAAAAAATCACAGTGGGCAAGATTAAAATTACTGTTTCAGTAAGTCTACATAAAAAGACATTAAAAGTCATTTAAATATAGCTAATAGTTTGTTAGGAATAATGTTGGAACAAAGAGAAGACAAAGGCTGTTTCTTGGAAATGGCACTCATAGATTGATTCCAACATTGCTCAGACTATTATCTAGAAACACATTAATTATATTAATTGATGGATAGATTTAGAGGTAACTGTGATACATTTAAAGCTGTCTTTTGGAGTTATGATTAGCATCATTAATGTCCATTCTCTTAGGTAGCTTAAGAGCTTTCTGTGTCTTAAGAATGGTTGTGCCAGTCATTAGGAGCGGTCTGGGGTGGTGGCAGTAGCACTCTGGTTGATTTGTTGGTGACAGTCTGGTGTCAGAGCAAAAGTTAAGGGATTTTATTGCCATTGCAGCAAAATGTCAAGAGCCTGAGTTAAACCTTGCTGGCTTTAACACCGATTCATAACTACCACTGGCTGGGGAGAGGCTGACCAAAGCAGAACTGAGGGATTGCCTGCACTGTGCTGGCTGATGTTCACCACATCAATTCAGACATAAATGTTTCTCAATTTTTTCTGAGCACAGAAAAAAAAATTAGAAAGTTGCCATTAATACTAACCGTGCAATTAGTTGCTGAAGCACTTTTGGAAGTATCAAAGCTGCTGTTATGCAGTGGTTTTGCTTCCTTTTCAAAGAAAACTCCTCTTGTAGTTCAGGTTAAGAATTGTTATTCCTACTTAAAATATTCTATAGTTCTTCCAGTCAGTAGGAACTTCTGTCTTTGTTCAATCCCCTACTTCAGTTTCCTTTGCCATGAGAAATGACCAAGACCAGAACTGTTTTATTACTGATGTAAATATTGATTTAACTCAGCTGAGGTGAAGGGAGACCTCTTCCTTAAGATGAGTTGTGGTAAAAAGAACTTAGTTCCTTTGTATGGTCTTGATGGATTCACTCCCTTTACCTTAAGGATTAACTATTTCTTCAGGCTTCATACTTCCAAAGGACATGTAAAGTTGTCACTATCAATATGGCAGTAGAAGTGATTTTGAAGCAGGAGTTAGGAGAATGAAAATACCTTCAGGAGTGCTTTTCACAGAGTGAAAGTGATGGCTGGGCAGGCAATGGCACAGACCTATCTCAAACTAAGCCTTATGAAGGCAGATGGGAACTTGGCATCCAGCACTTCTGTTGTAGTATGCTCAGTTTTTATATAGAAATAAGAAATATTGGCTATTGGGACAAAATAATTCCGTATTTATCACCATACCCATCCTCTGTTTCAAAGCATCTTGGAACTGCCTATAATTGCAAATAATCTGCCCAAGTGTTTTGACATAGTATTGACTGGTTCCTCCATTGGTTAATCTGCAGGCAACTGAAGCCGTGGATGTTGACCAAAGGCTAGAATATGATTGATTAAGGTTATGTTAGTTTTATCTAGACATAATTAGTTGAAATAAAATGGATTTTTAAATTAAAATAGTTTATATTATGTATCTTTTTATGCCAGGGTTTATAATAGAACTTTTTCAGTCTGATGAGATAGTTTATCAATGTATATCTCAAAATACATTTATGCTTCACATTTTGGGAAGCCAAAAAATACACACAAATAAAATAATCTTACTGTATTCCTGGAAAGTACATTTTCTAGTGACTGGATCTACTTTTCATTAACAGACTGAAACACAATGTACAATAGTGATGTACGGTAAATAATGCAAAAATCAGGTCACATTTTACTTAAGCATTTTAATGTAATTGCTTCATCCAAATAAATTTATATTGGTAGCAAAATATTCTTATTTTTAGAGCAATAGGAGAAACAATGGTTCACTATGAAAGATAAAATTTTCAACTCTAACATTTTAATGTTAAAAAACTGTGTCTTTCATATGAGAGACTTTGTCTAAAACACTTTCTTACCTTCTCTCTGTCATAATTACGTTTACCTGTGTTCTTTGTGATCACAGATATCTTGATAAAGCTGCAGATTTTGGTCTGGACCTGGTTCTCTAATTCTTACAAAGATCTGAAATCAGTTTAGAACTTTTTTTTTTTTAATCCATGACTGCCAAACTCTGTTTGCAAGCACTTCATACCTTCATTTAGGGTTGTAAGAACCAAATCCAGGAGCTTATAACACTGGTGTATATATGTGTAGATAAACTTATACAGCAAGTGAGAATGCATTTTGTAATTTCGGTACAGTGGAATGATAAACACATCAAAGTTCTACACTGGTCTGAAAACAGAAATAAATAAGTGCATCATATTACACTAAGACACCATAGAATTTAAGGCATTTGAACAAGTAAGTAATTATATTTTAATAGAAACATATTTATAAAAGAACTCAAGAAGATAAACTCCTTATTTATGTTTTCATATTCTTTCCTCTTTAGAATGCTGCAATGGGATACCCTGCTGGTTTTTTCACAAAGCATAAAATGTGTATTAAAGATCACCAGCACAGAAAAAGCATGCAATATAGAAACACTATTATTCATGAGGGAGAACTGGTACTCATTATTGTCAAATATTTTTAAAACCATAACTTTTTATGAGAAGAAGTTGCAGTATTGTGAGTCTGTGGCTGGGTGTGGAAAAGCCCATCTCTATAATTGTTTGAATAATTGCCAAACACTTGCCTAGAAAGAAAACTAAAAAGCTCTATTTAATCCTTTTTTAACTCTATTAATTCCAAACACATTATGCAAGAGAGAACATTTGGCTGACATTCAGCTTATTCATTAGAAAGCAGCATGATCCATGGTCAGCCTTTCTGCACAATCCATAAACCTCACTCCAGAAGAGCTTTTTATAACAGGCAAGGTGGAGGAACTCCACGAGCCCAGTTTAAAGCACCTTAATTTTGATATGCAGAGAGATTGCTGGGAAGAGTTGACTCTGCATTGATATGAAATTGCACACTGAAAAACACAATGCAAAAATATAAACCAGATAATATTTCACCTGTTATTAACAATTTTGATCCTTTTCCACTACAGCATTTACAGTTTGCAAATATTTTTTTACTGCCCATGGTTTGTAAAACCCTCCACTGTGCAGTTAATGCACTGATGTTCAAAGAATCTGTTTTCCCAAGATCCTATATAAAACAAAAAGTAAAATGACAAAACTATTTATTAACAAAACCACAGCATCACTTTTGAAATATTCCGCTCTTTGGGAATGGGTCTTATTAACATTGGTAGCAGAAGTTACCAATGTTTTCCTCACCAAGATTTATGTATTTATTCAGTTTCTCTGTGAGATTGAAATGGCAGCCTAGTTTACATCGTTATGCAATGTCTTACTTTCAACATCTAAATTCCATTGCTATAATTAAAACATATCAAGCTAATAGATGATGTTTTTGATCCAGTCCACAAACATGGTGACTCGAACATACACTCCTGGTCGTTGGGGAAGTGCACACCGTTCTCCAAATGATATTACACCAACCAAAAACCACTTGTCTCCGTCTTCAAATGTCAGAGGACCACCTGAATCCCCCTGCAATAACAAATTCAAGAGTTTAATGTGAACAGTGTCAACTCTCAGGCAGAGCCTCTTTATGATATTTGTCCATTTTATTTCTTAATCATAGGTGCTCTACCCCTGTATCTCCCAGGTACCAGGAAGTGAGATCAATATGAATATTTCCATGTGAAAATAAATGAATTATTAATTTATTTTTTCTTTATTTTTAAGTGATATGAGCTTAAACTGTTATCAGTCTTCCAATACAGGACTGGACTTCAAGAGATTTTTTTAATCTTATTTCTTTTTTGTTCAGCCCTTCATATTTCACAAAGCCTGGGTAAATGTGGAGGGTTTTTTTTCAGTTGAATATATTCAGCCAAAACACAGTTCTATTTTCAGTCACCTCAGAGTTTCCACAGTTTCAAATTTAGAGAATAAAATAACAAGATTGCCAGAAGAGAAGGTGTCCTTTTCTCTCACCTCCTTTTCAATAGTTTAACAGATGTAGCATTGTAATAGAGACTGAATTTGATTTCGCTTGAGTGGGGATGAGTCAGCCATGGGTGTCTTGTTTTGATGAGAAAGAAAACAATTACTATTTTTCACTGTCTATCAAGGTAGTTGAACCAGTACTAATTGTGTCTTCTCCAGGCCCTGTGAATGAATCTTTACCAGAGAATTCTGCAAGGACTCAGCCATTAAAATACTTCTGCCCATATCCTAGGGCATCCCAGAATGTGAAAGGCTGTGACAGCAGCCTAGAGGGGGATGTGCTATCAGGAGTCAGTTGTTCCTCTCATGGCTGACTGGTCATCGATCACAGTGTTGGTCACTTGTACTTTGTATCAGCCTATGGTGCTACACTGAATTGTTTTTTGGTTTTGTTTTGGGTTTTGTTGTTGTTGTTTTGTTTTTGTTCAGTATAAGGTTCAGAAAGAAAAAGGAAAAGAGAAAAACCATGAGGGGAAAGTGCCGGAGCCCACCCTAGGTTGGGGGTGGCTCTGTGTGGTGGAAAAATCTCTCCTCCAACCCGTGCTTTCAAAAAAAGGCTCATCAGTCTCTTGTTCGGTCTCAAGGCAGTTTATTGCAAGTTATCTAAAAGATTTTCTTCTGGAGCTGCTGTGGTTTTCTCAGCTGCTCAGGCAGAGGCACACACACACCCCTGACATCCTGACTCCCGTCTTCTTCTTCTTCTCCCTCCACCCAGGGCTGCTGCTATCTTTTATATGGTACATTACATGTTACATGGTTACAGTTTTTTCCCAATGCCTATTACCTATATTAAATGGTGCTTTTCTACTCTAAACCAATCTGTGAGTGCCAACATCACCAAGAACATGGAGGTAAGGAAGAAGAAAGAGGGAAGACAGGACAGGCCCAAATCCCTCCATCTTAAAACCTCTGTACAAAACTAAAAACTCCCTGTACAGGACTTAAAACCCCCCTGTACAGCACTCAAAAATTCTTCCCTCTACTTTGTAACTACTTCTACTATAATATCTAAACTTTTGTGACTTCTTGTTCTTTCTGCAAAGTTGGTAAATCATTCCATGGTTCAAATCCAAAATCACAGCTGTTTCCAGCTGCCTGCCAGGATCTCAAATGCTTCTGGCCTGGGCCTGGAACCTCCAAAAATATCTGAGGGACATTTTGAGTTCCAACAGGAAAGGACATTAGGCTTCAATAGAGTCTTTGTTCTAGACTAAACTGGGCAGTCAGGGCACGTGGTGAAGGCTTAGGTCGGTAGGACAAGGCAACAGGAGTTAGCTGAGAGTGCTCCTTCCTCATCAGGCTTGAGGGAAGCCAGCCAGTCTCCATGCCACAGACTCCATATTGCTGGGAATAAAATCATGTGGCAGCCACTTCTGAGTACATCATCAACGAGAAGCAGCAAGTTATAAAGAGAGCTGGAATGGATAAAAACTAAACCCAGAGGAGCATATATCAGTGCAGAAGGGCAGCCTCTTTGAAATACTGTGGTGTCTGCTTAGGAAAGGTCTCCAGAGTCTACAGGTTCTGGGAAAAGCAACTTTGCTCTCTCTCTTTGCCATAATGAAGGATTTCTGAGACTTTAGTCTATTTGGTATTTATTTCTCTATTCTCTGCATTTCTCTAAGCACGTGCCTCTCTCCTTCATGGAATTACTCAGCAGGAATTATTCAAAGCCTAGTGCAAAAAATTTCCAGTCCTCATATTTATATCTCTCCATGATTGTTTATAGCAAGATGACACACACACACAAACACAAAATTTAAACTTGTATCCTGATAAATTATTAAATGGTCAAAGTACCATGACTAGAAATTACATTAACAGACAGAGATTGTTCTCTTTTTCATGAGTGGAGGATCAGGGATCATTTTATTCAGTAACTAGATGAGTTTTAAGCTAGCAGTGGAAATGAGTTGCTTCTGCTTACCTGGCAGGAATCTATTCCTCCCATGTCATATCCTGCACAGAGCATATTCTCAGTAATGTTATATTTTGGCATCCATTGCTGGCATTTTTCATTAGAAAGGAGAGGGACCTCTGCTTCTTGCAATATATTTGAAGAGGGACCTGATGAAAATACAAAGAGCATTTACCTGCAGTATTAAATACATGCATCCCACTGGGAATGCTGATGGTTTTGTTCCTGTTCCAGCATACTCAGCATGCTCCTGAGCAGCAGGAATCCCTGCCTTACTGCTGTACTATTCAGGCTTATGCTCCTGTAACACAGTCACTGATTAAACAGGGCTCGTTAATTGAATTCTGTTTTTCATTTGTGTAATGGGACTGAATTTGGTTACAATTGAATCAGGATTGCTAAAATCAATGACTATGAACTCACTAGATCACTATGGGGAGATCTAAGGGATGATTAAAGGCTTAGGAACATGGGTTGTCTAGTGTTTCTTCACTATTCATTGTGCAATTTTGGTTATTTAAAGTTTTTTTTTTTTTTAATTCTTTGATTAATTCCTACCCAAAATTTTAAATGCAATTCAATGTAGAAGTCAATGTATTCAACTGTGGAAGTGAAATGGCATATTTATTTTTTCAGAGAGACTCCAAATCTGGAACATATGACATACAAACAGAACATACATTTCACACTGCAGTCAGTTTTCTTGACTTCTGGGGAAAATCATTTGCACATTGTCAGAAAGACTAATCTTCCTCTGTCCCCACCCAATATCGGGAACCGAGATGTATGTATTTCATGTTGAGAAAAGTAGTCATCATAACTTCTAAGTGGATGTAGGAAGCTTTCTTCATGGCCTAATGAACTTAGATATGCATGTTTTCTTCTAAGAGATATGTTATAACCATCATAACATTCCACTGATGGGATAGTGAAATGGGAATGTTCCTAAATTTTCATATGGAAGAGTAGCTCTCTAAACTATTTGACCTTAGCTACTCCTGTGACATAGGAACAAGCTTCCCCTCACAGCCTCTCAGAATTTTCCATTCAGATGACCCACCTTCATTCCTAATATTTCCCCAGCCAGCAATGGAGCACTTAATTCCTGGTAAAAACTGTTGATTTTTTTCTGGTAGGCAGATAGGTTGTATGTAATCTGTGAATGAGAAACAAGTAATCAATTTTCAGCTTCTTCCCTGTATTCAGGTTTTTATAAAGTTATACCAGAAAACATTCATTAATTCGAACCCCCTTTTTTGCCAAGATATCCAGGAAGTACTGAGTGGACTCCCCATCACCCTCATATGATTAGCAGTCTTCTGCATAATAGAATAAATGGGAATAAAAGGGTCTTTTGGGAGAATAAAAACTCACCTGTATACTGCACTTTGTGTTGAAGGTGCATCAGAGCAATATCACTGTCTTTTGTTTGCTTCATGTAATGAGGATTTATGATGATTCTGTCGATGTTTCGAACCGCTGCTGGAGGCTGGGCCAGATCTGACTGACTGTACAAGCCCAGAACCGCTCGCCAGCGGGATGGCTTTAGTTGTCTCCTACAAGTTGCAAGGAGAGTATTCACAATTAGGAATGATTAATGGAAGTTTTGAAAAATTTGTGTCAGATAAAATGCTGATATTCAGCCTTGTGGTAATCCATGGCATGTGCACGTTTTGTCAAATAAATAGAACGGGGTAGATGTGCTTAGAATTCTGTATCACTGTCTTAAACATCCACGCTGCAGATATGTGTTGCTGATTTTTTTATGGTGAGCTTATAATGCATTATTTATAATGAATTAATCAGGTAGTGGTGCAGCAGAGGAAAATACATTAACTAAATTACCATGGCTTTTTAAACACAATGAAGAATACCACTGACTGCCCAGCAGGCAATTAATATTTGGCCCAGTTAGAAAATTGCAATGGAATGTCTAAAGAATAAGAAATCTGAGATATTGTTGGAAATGCTGCAGCTCATAGACTCAGAAAGTTAGTCTCTTACTTCTTAACCTCAATCAAACAAGATACGCTAAAACAAAATTTGGCATAATCTGCATTTTTTTTTCCTAATCTACCCATGCTGGTTTGAGGCTGTGTTCATCGGGGAACTTAAATATTTTCTGGTTTTTAATCAATCACTTTATGGTTTAAAAAATACGTTTTCATCCTGATTGTTGGACTGAATTGGTTTCTGCTCATCTTTTGGTTTGACATCAAGAGGTTCTTTTGCTCTAAACTAGGAGTGTCCAACTAAAATTTTTAGAAGGTGTGAAACTTCAAGCTTCAATTTTGGAAAATTCTAGCAAAGGCAAGATGTTAAAATTAGATTTAGTTGAAAATAGAAAGGTGATTCAAGTGAAAAAGAAGTATCAAGACAATCGTTGATTTATTGTGTGGATACTAAGAGGGTTTAATCCTTTTCATTTTAGTGTCTTTGTGTGGAATGTAGTGCCTGTCATGCTATGAGGCAGCGTTAGGATTTTGGCACAGTCTCCACTGCCTTACCATTTAGCTATTTGTAGTGAAAGCTCTACTCTAATTTTGGTCTTGGTTTTGTGATTTTTTTGGGGGGGGGAGGGAGGAGTGTTTCTGTGGTTTTTTTTTTTTTTTTTTTTTTCCATTCTAATTTCTATATGTCTTTTACAACATCTGTATTTATTGTAGATATGAAAACAAATCCTAGAAAATATTTCAATATGCATCACTTCTTTGAATAGAGTGGATATCCAACATTGCCTAATCAATGCACAGATTAATTCAAGATTCATTCCAGTGATGCACAGTAAATCTTGCTCAATCCAGGATAATATACAGGAAGAATGCTGGGTTTAATTTATGGGATATGACGTCACTTTTTATACCACTGGTAGGGATTCACCTAATTTATGGAGGCCCACAATAATTATGGATTAAGTACCAATGCTCAGTATTATACTATGCATTTAAAGTGCAATTTTTTATTGTTCAGGCAATGCTGCTTGGTTTCCACAATTCTCTGCATTAAGGTAAGGACTGAGGGTTTACCAGGAAGTAAGGGAGCTTTTAGCTGAGCTTACAAGTGATTCAAAACACTGTAATTATACAGGAGTTAGTTGTTAATTTTTCATATCAGTGTCACAATTTGTTCATAATCTGATGCCTCAGTGAGCTTGCACATAAAAGAACTTTACCCATAGACACAATGTGCTGCTGTCACCAGCCACTCGTCACTGACAAGGGAAGCTCCACAAACGGGTTGGAAATTAAAATGGAGTGAAACTATCCAAGGCCAAGCCTCTTTTCTGGCATCGTTTCCACCTATAATTCTTGTTCCATTATTCTGAGTTGCCAGGTGTTTTCCACAAGCTAAGATAAAGCAAAATAAAATCAAATAAAATAAAAAATTAAAGGGATGTTGTGTATTTTATGACTAGTGAAATATTCCTGGATTCTCTGTACTTACATTGAATGTTACATTGCAGATGAACCACCAGGTTGTCCAAACAGTGTTCTCTAGAATGAAAGTGCAATTAAATCACAAGTACCTGCACACCAGATAGCTCTGACTGTCAAATATATGTACATACACACACAGAGAAATTTATACAATCATATATATGAAAGTACATTCATTTAGCAGTATCAGCCTGTTAAGTATAATAAGAAATGCTACGTTTAAATTATGTTGTAATTACAAGTATACAGCATTATAGATTATGCAACTTTAAATATACATATTCCTCTTCAGTGGGCACTTAATTGATTTATATTATGGAAATAAAAGTCAACACTCGTGTTTTAGGGAAATGGGTCATCTGTCCCAGACAGATTTGCAGTAAAGTTATAGCTGCCTATGGTACTTTTTCCTACCTTTTGAGATGTTTTCAGTACCTTACCACTAGAGATCAGTGTGGCCAAAGAATTAAATAGGTTAGTTTTATATCCCTGTATCATTTTACTAAGAAAATAATGCTACTGTAAAATATGTAGTTGCATATGCTAGGTTAGGAATTATTTAGCAAATATTTAAAGCCAGTGTCTAAAGACCATAAGACCATAGATCAAAACTGCTCAAGCATTTCTGATACCCAGAGGTTTTAATATTATGTTCATAGTCTGTAATTAATCTGAAACACTTGGGACAGTGTGTGTGCTAGCAATTCAAATCTGATACACACAGAAATAAGAATGAGGGGGAAACGAAACCAAGCTCTGCCAATGTTTTGTTTCAAGTGAGCATTTCCACATCTCATTTTTAAATAGAGTAGGTGAAGGATACTTTAAACATGATAGGGAATGATGTATCCCTCCCTGTGTTTGCTCTAATATTTGATATCTGCTGTGAGTGAGGTATGAGCCAGTAATTTCCCAGTGGCACAGAGGTACATGAAATAAAGTGGGAACTGCAATCACCTCCCCAGTTAAACCTTCACTATAGTGGAGTGCAATTGAGATATTCCTCTGGCCCTGAATAGTCCCCCATTGCCGTTTTCCGCTTCAAGGTAGGTACCTCATTTTAAAGTTGTAGGAAACCATTTTCTGTGACATGTATCCAAATCCGTAACCAGACAAACATCAAGGAACCAAAAATGCAAGAAAGCAAAACCATCTGCATAAACATCATAGCAACTAAATACCCTTTTCCACTATGCCTTCATAGGCTTTCAAAGGGGGGATCAGTGGTGCTGTATATTAGGTATTTTATCTGATACTATGATTTCTCATAGGTAGATGCATAAACTACCTGAACTAACAACCAAAGTGTCAGATTTGTCCCTATAATTTTACATTTTCAATGTAAAGGGAGCTGCCTGTCCCACCACATGTACCTACTGGTTTTTTTCAGTAGAAATTGCTTAATTTGCCTCTGCTTTGTCTTCTTAGTGGAGCTAGCTCCCAGCAGGAGAAGCATTTCCTTGCCTACACTTCAGCCCAACAGTTCTCAGCTGCCTCTTGGTCTGCTGGGAGTGGCCAAAAGGCACCAGAGGTGCTGGAGCTCACCCTTGGTCGTGGGTGGCTCTGTGTGGTGGAAAAATCTCTCCTCCAACCCGTGCATTCAAAAAAAAGCTCAGGAGTCTTCTGTTGTTCGGTCTCAAGGTTGTTTATTGCAAGTTATCTAAAAGATTTCCTTCTCAGGCTGCTGTGGTTTGCTCACAGCTCAGGCAGAGGCACACACACACCCTGACATCCTCTCTGACTCCCGACTGCTTCTTCTCTCCCCGCCCAGGGCTGCTGCTCTTTTATATGGTACATTACGTGTTACATGTTTACAGTTTTTCCCCAGTGCCTATTACCTATATTAAATGGTGCTTTTCTACTCTAAACCAATCTGTGAGTGCCAACATCACCAAGAACATGGAGGTAAGGAAGAAGAAAGAGGGAGGACAGGGCAGGCCCAAATCCCTCCATCTTAAAACTTCTGACCCTCATGTACAAAACTAAAACCCCCCTGTACAGCACTCCAAAATTCTTCCCTCTACTTTGTAACTATTTCTACTATAGTATCTAAACTTTTGTGACTTCTTGTTCTTCCTGCAAGGTTGGTAAATCGTTCCATGATTCAAATCCAAAATCACAGCTGTTTCCAGCTGCCTGCCAGGGTCTCAAACGCTTCTGACCTGGGCCCGGAATATCCAAAAATGTCTGAGGGACATTTTGAGTTCCGACACAGAGGCATGTGCTGAACACCCTCTTGTGTGTCTCTCTGAGTGTCAGCTGTCAAGCAGCACGCCAGGCAGAAATCTGGAGTAGTTAGGATATCTGTGAGCATGATCTTCACTTAGAACTGGCAAAAACAATTAGTCCCTGTGGAATCTGCTCACATGTATCTAAAAGGCAGGATCTGGGGCTCTTACAAAGCTATCCTGCCAAAAATCACATTACCTAAGGGCACCAGAGAATTCTTTCACTGTCTCTGTCACTGCAGATTTCAAGCCCTATTATATGTGCCCTCCTTTGTTTCAATGATGGATGCACTCGAATAAAAAACAAAGACAAATATGAGAAATACATTTTATAATTGGATTAACAGTTAATGAATGCAGTTGCTTAAATTATCAAATCTGTGTGACATTTCTAGCATTCATTATGTGTAGAAAAACCGTGTGTGAATCTGCAATAATGTCACCCTGCAAAATGATTCCTATCAGCTGAAACATGGAAGAAGGCACCTATTTCTGCAAGAGAAATACAACTAAGATAAATAGATTTATTCCATTTCCTCCTGTTTTAATCACTTTTAGTGTTTAACAGGTATAAACAGAAGACATCTTTAAATAATTACAGCTCTTCAAGATGTCATGTGGCAATGCTGGTTTAGATATTTACTCAAGAAAAAAAGAAAAATAGCCTCCAATGATATTCCATTAGTTTAAGATACTTTCACCACACATGAGAATGATAAATGTTTGGGGTTAACAGAGTATAATTAGAACAGAAAATGTAACTTTAATTTTTTTTCCCTGTAGACAAAATAATAGACCATAGAAAATTAACATGTGTCTCCTGCTTTGTTACTATGTGGTAGGTTTATTAAGGGAAACTGAAAGAACATGGACTTTTGCTGTCCTCAACACGATTTCAGCATTTTAGCAATTAGACAGTAATTTTCTGGGTCAGTGTTCTGGTAGAAATCCAGAAAAAATTATACAGTAAAGCCTCTTATAAACAGAAAGCAGTAATTGAAGTAATTACAATTCTTTAAACTGATGATGGCAAGCCTTTCTGCTTGTATTATAAATCCTGAGGATATAATCCTAGGCTAATATCACATTTTCATTTAATCTACAAGAAATACCAGTTTCTAGTACCCTTCAGAGCCCCTTCAGCAGTTATTTAGACTGAGAAAGGTTGGAATAGAATCAAATGTATTCTGAGGATCATGTCATCTAAGATTCATTTGTAAAGGTGGAGACAAATCCAGAAGTCATTTTTTGAGTGGGGATAATTTGTTTAAATATAGATTCCTGTCTGTGGATGGCTTAAATTAGCAATCATCAGTATGTCCAAAGTCTATATCAATAAAGTCAAAGGACTATAGAGTGTGACTCCTCAAATTTCAAGAGGTGCCTTGATGGATCACACTTTGGAGTGCTTATTTTTCTCTGATGATTACAGAGAGAACCTACTGTGACAACTACTCTATAACTATGGGTGAATGTCACTCCATCCTAATTCTTTTATATTACATATAGGTAGTCTTAATTCTACTGTATTATGTACTCATTGTTTAGAGATTTCTAGACAAGAAACATTTTGATAAAAGAGCATATAATTTCCACAGTAAATAGATAGAGATGTCAATTAGGATTTGAGCTATATATTAGTGCATAAATAATCACCACAACAGGTAAGGACATCATTTGTATGAGGGAGAAACCTCACTGTACCCACCTTTTTGTAAAAATTAGGCTGTGTTTACCTCCTTTGGTGATGGTGACAAATGGGCCATCTCCAGTGAATAATACAGCTGATGACATATTTGCATCCCTGGGACAAAAAGACACATGCATATTTTTAGATATATACCCTATTCCACCAGTGGAGCAATATTTAGAAATTATTATGCTGATAGAATAAACACCAGCTTTTTATTTTTTTTTCTTCTCCTCAAATAATGACCCTTTAGCAGGGGATTTTTGAGACTTGAAACTTTTAGATTAAAATGTGATTCTCTTCCAGTCTTACATCTTATTCTAAGATTTCTAATGCTACATTAATATTGAAAGGAATATTAGTTAATTCTTTTGACAGCAGCAAATATTTAGTTTGGCTTTTCTGTGCAACAATGAAGGGTTTGAAATACCAATTCTTAAATGTATGGAGCTAGAACTTAGTATGACAAACAGAGCAGTAATAGCTGAACCTTGGAGTATCACAGTCTTGCTTTTTTGAGGGATGCAGTATAACTAGCAATTATTGGCTAGGAAAGAAATTAAATTGTATTTTGTATAATGAAGAATCTAATGGAGTAAAAAAAAGTTAATTTTCACCTCATAGATCTGTTGAAATCAGAGTGGCTGTGGAATAAGTCAATAGTGTCATGTTTGCTATTGATCAAGAGTGGGATGTATTCGTAGAGTTACAGACTCACAGAACAGTTTGGGTTAGATGGTGCCTTTAAAGGTCATATAGTCAATTTAAAGGAATCAATTAGCATATTCTTTGACTAACTTTGGTGGTTTTTTTTGTAACAATGACTTTTTGAACTAAGAATTCTGTGTACTATCAGTGATACAAATTGTTTTGACATTTAGAAGCCATATCCAGATTTTACTTTATAGTCCATTCTGCTTCATGCACTTTGTGATATGTCATATGACCAGTTTGAAACATATATCTTTGAAAGATATTTGCTTTCCCTTGAGGAAGTATGGGGAAAAAAGATAGCTGTGGTTAGACTGCATAATTTTTGGGGGAATGACAGCCTCACATCTGGCCCTTTAACCTTACACATCTCAGGAGCAAGAAGAGAACCATTTGTTTAATACACAGGGGGCACCTGCACTGTGTCTTCTCTTCTAATTCACTAAATCTTGCTCTCCTGGGAAGGATGAAGTCTGGAATCTGCCTGCAAATCTGCTGTGTATGAAGTAATGAGGTGTTCAACAGCCCTGCTGTGCCACCAGGAGAGTTGTATGATCCACCTGCTGGGAAAGTCACTACTGCTGCATTTCTCAGCCTGGAAGTGCCTTTTAGACAGTATGAGGAAGCAGTACAGTGCCAAGCCAGGTAGGCAGTCAAATTCTATGATGAAGAACTTTGCTGAGACCAGCAAAGTACTCCCAGGAACTAATTTCCTTCTGAAGAATGTCACAAGTTCATGAAGAAAATAGAACGAAGGGTTTCAGAGTAAAGCCTAAACTCTCACTCTTGTTGGACTTTTAAGTATGACAAAATTGCCAGGTGTACCACCATTCCTGGGTACAATTAATCAAAGAGCCAGCTGGCTCTGGTCCCAGGGAAAAAGGACTGTTTTCATCTGCCCAATGCAGTGTGGGAAAGCTCAGTGTGTGATTTTCTTGGTTCCAGGAAATAAGAGGGTGACAACAGATTTTAGCAGTGCTGTCAGATGCACACAGCTACAAGTGCAAGCATGTAGCTTGCAAAGGATTATTTTCAGGTTTCTCTAGAGCATCAATTTGTTCATCTTGCAGCCCAGACTCATTAAGAAAATTTGTAAATTATTTGCCTAAGGTGTATTTTGCAGATGCACAATAAGCATGTCTCCAGACTGGCTTCTTTGGTACAAATTACAAATGCAACAGTCACATATTTGAAAAATGGAGGCAAAAGGATTCACATGTGAGATTTACTAGAACCTGTGAGGAACACTGCACTTTTTAGCCCTGGTACATAAATAATCAGGATATGATATAGGACTCCTATCAGCTCAGTCCTTTTCATAAATGAAACAGAAAGTGAGACTAGCATATGCATAAGCAATTAATAGTAAAGCTAAATTGTCCTAGATGAACTTTAGCCTGTCTTTCTAATAAAACATGATTCTTGGTTGTAATTCAGTGTAGGAGCATGAGCTACAGCCTACTCAGGACCTGCTATTGCAAACATCCATTTAGTAACAAAAATTAGTAACAAATATGGTGATGCTTATAAAGAAATAATCTGCTACAGGGGCATTCAAGGAAAGCAGAATTGTGTGATGCTCACAGGAGTTACACACACACACACACACACACACACACATATATATATATATCTATATGCACCTATTCATATATCAATACATATATAAATATAGACACACCCATATGAGAATTTTGTCCTGTGCTGTAACTGCAGTAGCACCCAGGTTACAAAAAAGTGATACAAGTTAGGTTTAAAAATATTTTCCCTTGATGATGGGAGAGAAATTGAATAAATAAGAAATAACTAGGAAGATTATTAGGAACTCTTTTAGCAAGTGCACCTGAGTGCACTTTTTTTTTGTTTTGTTTGTAGAGATAACCTGAAAGATATTGCCACAGAATGTTACGGGGACAAAAGCATTAAGTAATATTTAAAAGTCAGAATACCATGGAAGGTAAAGTTTGTTGAAGTCTATCAAATGTGTCAACTAAATGAGTGGACCACAGAATTAGTTCTGTCCAGAAGGGAAAGGAGGCAGGGCAGGGGCAGAAAGAATCAGAGGAAGAAGGCCACTGACCACTCTAAGGAACAAGGTATTTGACCAGAGGCACACTTAAACATAATTTGTATGTTCTTACATGCATGTGTACATAAATTACAGTCAGGATTTCTGCATGTAGCTACCTGATTTTTATTTAAACTTAGTACTTACCCAAAGGAAGAAAGTAAAAAACCCAACAAACCAGCAGATATTCATCCAATTAGAAGCATTTCTGAAATAACACTCGGATATTTTTCTAAGTCATTCTAACTCTGTGATTACTACAATTAATCTATCAGAATGGGATTTGTAGGCATCGTTCTTTGGCCAGCGACCAAAATAATGAATTGCAAGCTCAGAATTTAGTTTGATTATTAGCTGGGTGAAGGATATTCCCTAAAAACCTTAGCATTGCAGGAAAGCTAATTATTGTTCAGTGGATGGCAGTGGAGTAGCACATGATGTAAGGGCAAAATTTAGGCCATAAATTTTACCATAGATTAAAAAATGCAACACCCTGCACTCAATCCCCATGATTCCCCTGAAAATTCTTCTGAACAGGGACTAAACCAAATCTATTTTTCTGCCATATACTTCCCTACTTCATCCCTGCTCTAAGTCTACCTCGAAATTCCATTCTACCTAGGAGAATTCTAGAATTCCATTCTATTCTAGCAGAATATCCAAGTGATTATCTCTACTAGGAATGAAGTGCAGCACTACAAAATCAGAGCAGCCAAGGCTGCTGTTGGCTCCAGCTTTACTCTTGAGCCATCCTTATGAAAGTGAAGATGTAAATGATGATATAAAGTGACAAAAGGATGATGCACCCACAGCACTTTCCCAGTGTTCTCCAATATGTATCCTCATGCCCAACCTGCCATGTTCAGAGTCATCAATCCTATACTGAATGTCATCAAGACAGGGTTTGTCACATTCTCAAGTTTGTTGGCACACCAAGCACTCCACTTGACAGAGACAGATACATTTGCCATGTTTTTGGAGAGTACACCAGTAAAACGAGGAGGAAAATGCCAACATACACTCAACAAATCTGCAAACAAGTTACAAAGAACAATGAATATTTATCACTCACCCCAGCCCCAGCAGCTGGCAAACACTGTCTGCAATCTCTCCACTCCAATCATCTGCACATGCCAGGTGCCACATCTTCCCAACCCTGGCCTGGACCAGCCCTTCGGTGATCAGAGAGCCATTGAGTAATCTCACTGGAGAGAAAAACAGGCAGAAGCATTTTAGACTGGTGGCAAACCACTCCCCCACCCCAAGAAAACAGAAATATAATATAAAGAGATTTATTATTGCCAATGAAGAACAAAAAATAAAGTAAAAATGCATTGTGGAGGTAATAAACTTAGCAGCTCCAGGATGTTGTGTTCCCACAGGAAGGAAATGCTATTGTTATTTTCTATATTTCTGCCACAGCAGAGTTTCATACCTTGTATTTTGTATATGTCTTGGAAATAGACAATAAACAGTACATTTTCCATCAACTCTAAACAATACATTTTTTCCTTAGTCAGCATAATATATTTTCCAAATAATAAGTGAAGCTTTAATTCCATGATGGTCAGTAATGCTGACTGGAAATAAAGTTAAAATGAGCCTTAATGAAAAAAAATAGATTTCCACTTCCAATTGTCACTGTTTTTCTTGCAGTTTTGGTTAAAACATTCATACTTATAATTAAAGCTCACTGAAAAACAGTCCTTCTATAAAAACTTTTCTCAAAATAAAATATTGAGAACAAGAATTCAGAAACTCATTAACTTACTGGTAAAAAGTCTTATTGGTGTACTGACTAAGGAAGTTAGACTGTACATCTCGTGTATATAAAATAAGAATTTTATTATATAATCTTAAATTTATATATAATAATGTCAACAGAGTATCATATATGTCTTAGCAGCTACAGCTGCATTTTAGGCAGATTACAGGTATTTCCACTGTGAAGTAGAGAAAAGCATGCAATGCACTGATATTCTTTTTTCTAAAATATTTTTTAAAAAAAATCTTACCTGTGGAAAAAAGCTTTTTCCACCAAAATCCTTTCACATAGAGTACCCACCATAGTAAACAAAACATTTAGATTTTTAGAAATGCCTCTGTGACACCTGGAGTACATGAATGATAGAGGTGATTTATACTGAATAATTAATTAATGGTAAATAATAGATTAAATTACATTAAATTAAATTTTTGAGCTTCTTAAACATCTTGGAATTGTATGCATTGCAAGATTTCTCTAAATTACTTTTGACACGTGTCTTCTTGAGAGAACTCAAATTATAAGTCCTTTTCCTTTCTCCTCATCAGATCCAGGTTCTTCTCCAAATACATGATTGGTAAGGACTAATAAAGTAATTGAGGATCCAACAACTGCTTAATTCAGATATCATATATTTTAGAATTTTGGCATTTCCTTGCAGTCTTTGGAAGTTTCAGAAGTCGGAGGATTTGAAAAGACAGTTTGTCTAGTTCAAGCTGCCACTTCTGAGAAGTCATTGAAATTTGTGTCAGGAAAGTGAGCAAGGCTTTTGGATACTAGAAAGACTCAATGTGAGAGTTTCTAATTGAATTTTCATTTGTTTTAAGATGTAGATAGATTTAGCCAAAGTTTGGACTAAATGGATTTTTGGAAACAAATCTCCCAGGCTTTTCATGTGAGATAATTTGTTATGAAGTAATAGACAATCAGTAGCAAAATAAATCTTCGGGAAAATGTACATCATGTTAATGTAAGTGATGGTTTTCTTGTTCAGATCTTCTTCATCAATGACTGGAAAAATAAATTCAAATTTTCTTTGCTTAAGAAGAAACTGAAGTGAATTTTATATTAAACATTTTAAAGGAAGAATATGTTTGCCACAAAATAGCCAATGGCACTAATTTGAGGAGTGAATCTGTGTCTTCAGACATCTATCTATCTATCTATCTATCTATCTATCTATCTATCTATCTATCTATCTATCATCTCTCTGTATTTACATATGCCATGTATATTTTTATATATATGCATGTAAAAATGTTGAAATTGGCAATTGACTGTGAGCACACATCTAAAAACATATCTGATCCCTAGTAGACCTCTTTAAAACAAAGAAATTTTGCTAAGCTTAAAGACCACTTTTAAAATCTTCCTTCAGTTCTCTAAAGTAGATTGTCAGCAAGAACAGTTTAACTTCTGGGCTAGGGCAAGCATGATTTTAGCAATAGTCCTACATTTAAATTATTGTTTTAGAGAATCTTATTTCCCTGCTGTGTAAAATGAATTGATGTACTGTACACATGCATTTTGGAAAGAGCCACTTTACCAGAGAAGTGAGGAATAGCAGTGAACAATGGATGCTGCTTTCATTGCTGAATGAATGCCACCCATTCACCCCATGGAGTCCAGGTGGGCTGGAAGTTTTATAGTTTGGCTTCACACTCACAAAACTATTTGGGAAATTCCACCAAAAACATGTTTATTCTCTATCCAGCACTGCAGAATTTTTACTGCTGTGAAATTCTAATTAATTACAGCAAAGTGCAGTATAATTTGGAAATACAAAATGAATACAGAAGAAAAGCATGTTTGAGTTGAGTTTGAGTTCTCATTTAATTTTGAGGCCATTATAAACAACTACAGCTTTCAGCACAGAGAAGCTTCCTACCTTTTCCTGAGTTCTTCACCATATTCCATACACTTATCAGAAAAGTCAATGTTTTCCTGGCCCTGACAAACTCAGTGGGGTAGTGCTGTGCAAATTGGCATGGCCTGTGTGCAGCTGAAGTGGTCTACATTAGCTGGGGTTCTGGGGCTGTTTTTCTAGGCAATTCCTGCCAAATATGCATGACTTGGGTTTGATACTAGGAAAAATTTCTTCACCAAAAGGGCTGATAAGCATGTCAACCTGCAAAGCAGTGGAGTCACCATCCCTGGAAGGATTTAAAACACATGTAGATGTAGCAGTGAGGGACATGGTTTATCAGTGAACTTGGCAGTGATGGATTAATGGTTAGAATCAATGATCTTAATAGTTTTTCCCAACATAAATTATTCTATGATTTCTTTGTATGAAGGAAACCTTACTGCATTTTGCTTCGTCAGAGCCGTCTTCACACTGAGGTATGTTGTCACACAGGTTGTGCAATGGGATGCATTTCCCACTACCACACTGATGCTCATCAACTCTGCAAGCCCCTGAAGGGAAACAAGAAAGGAGAATTTATCTATAGTTGTGAGGAAGGCTGATGTTCACAGTATGTCTTACAGTTAATATGAAGAAAACTGTGTTGATAGCATGAAGAGCCTTTGATTTCCTCTTCTTTCCATTTCCATTCATCTTTCTTTCAAAATAAAGATAATTTTGAGAGAAATAGAAGACAATTATGAATAAAAACAGAGTGAATTTTATAAATGTAGACCAAAAGTGAAGATTTTGAAAAATATTTTAAAAAGTAAGATTATTGTTACTACTGTGAATTCATAAAAATCTGCCACTGGCTAAACAAACTGGGAGAAACTTGCCATTTCTGAGAGTTAAAGTAAGAAAAAGAGCCTAGATCCTTGTTGACTTTCTGTTCAGGTAAGTGCATGGTACGTCACACATCTCTCAATACATACTGCTTTTTCTTTTTCTGTTTTTCTCCTGTCAGACTTCCACAAAAGTAGTACAAAGCCTCTAATTAATTCAGTCAAGATTTGGCCTAGAGTTAGTATAATTATTTGTCCTGCTAAGCATATTACTGCTCCATGTAATTTGCATTATGCTCATTTTGCATATTTTGGTGAGTTGATTGCTGAATTATGAGTGACAAGTCTAATTGCAGTCCCCAAGAAAATCAAGAGCCTTTCAGAAGGGATCTGGCTGGAACAAGAAACACTGCTGTCCAAATATTTAAGAGACTAGTTCTTCTCAGATTATTCACACACTAAGACCAAATTTTTAAATATGCAAGAAGAACGATATTGCAAATATTGATCAGAGTTACCAAATACAGTTTTCTCTTCTAGTGCATTATATCAATAATAATTATTTTACAAATGCATTTAAACACCCTTTAATGACATCCTGAAATTATTTTAAAAGTGTTGCTTTTTCCTGGGGTTTTTATAAGCAATGGTTAGTATTTGCCCTCTTAACATCTGAAAAGATTTTGGTCAAAATACTGAGCAATTTTCCACAAAATATCACAGAGTTGCACATGATCTAGACATTGCTCCAATGACACTAAGAAACAAACCCATCACTTTTCATTCCAGGAAATATAAAGTACAGATGAGTAACCAGCCTTTTTCTCTTTAACATTTGCATTTTTCTACTGAGCAATTACTGAGAGTCACTTTGCACTCTCCACATTTTCTGAAATACATTTGACCAGTGGTTAATACAAAATACAAAGGTGAGATGCTTACTTAGATGGTAGCCAGTAATAAAGTTTGCAAGAAATCCTTTCCTTGTTACAGACTTGTCTGTGCGGAGGATCACTGTCATCTGGTTTGTTGTGGAGAAGACATCTGGCAGTGGGCCTTTCTCTGTGTAGACAGCTATTCACCAGGAAAACATGAGTACATTCAGCCTATTTTGTTCATATGTTGTTCAAAATGCTCTGGGTTCAAAAGCAAATAGTGCCACCACAAAACCTCACTGCTCTCAGACTGCCACGGTCACACCCCAACACCAGATTTGACTAATCAGCATAGAGCAGTAAGGTTCAGTAAGAGATTATCTATCTGTTTGTCCACACACAGAAACAGTCTGATTCACTGAGAAGTTAATTTCAGATGGATTGCATGGAGAGCTGGGTGTGTGTGCAAATGTTTTGGAAACCTGATGTCACATAAAGGATGCTTTCTCAATTTTTCCTCTGAATTTCCTCTGAAATAAGGTCCCAAAAAATGCAAATGAAATAAGAGGAATTTAATTTCCATGATATTATATCCATCAGTTTGCTCCAGCTGTCTGATTACATTCATTTTAGTACCCACTGCTGCTACTTGCCCAAAAGTAAGGAATCTGGTCCTCTGCCATCTCTGATTTCAACCACATCATGAATACTTTCTAGATCAAAAAACTGAAAATGAAGTTGGATGTTTTTTCCATTTTCAGCATTCAAGTACCACACACCTGGAAAATAGTAACACACACACATAAAAATCACCTTTTCAGTGATATATTTGCTGTGCCAATTTCTTGTTGAAGGGCTTGGGGAGAAAAAAAAATCTCTTAAATTGTTAATAACCACCAAAGAAATTAAGAAGTTTAAATCTTGTATTTAAAAGCTGTCAAGATCCAAAATTCTATAGTTTCTCATTCTTAAAATATTTTAAAACTAATTTTAGACTTCTACAACATATACACATTTGTTTTTAATCATTCATATCAGCTTTGAGTTTCCCCAAGGTAGTAAATTTCATTTTTTTTCTGACGGTGACAATGTGACAAATAGTCTTGTCACTTAAGTCTCATTTGATAGTAAGATATTTTTTATAATCAGTCACATAAGCCTGTCTTTGAAGTTAAAATATCTCTTTGCTTTTGCTTAGCCTATACTTTATCATATTAAATCTGAGTGTGGATACTATATAAATCTTGTAAAGAATTTTCTCACTAGCAGGAATCTCATTTGGGAACTTGTGGAATGAATCCTGGAAATGTGAGCCATACCTCAAGCAGAATAGAAACACAAAATGACAATTCTTATGATTACCATCGCAGCACAATTCTACAGGATTTAAAGAATAAATAAAATATTATAAATAAAATAAAAATAAAATAAATAAAACATTCAATAAAGAGAGGATTCTTTACAAAATTTATACACATATTCTTTGCCTCTAGAAAATGTGAGCTATTTAACAGCAGAAGTGATGATATTAACCTGGCAGATGTACCAGGTTATGGCAAAATGGGGACTTTCATCACCTTATGTGCTGCTGGATTGACATAAAGATATTTGACATAGTAGGCAGGATGGAATTGGCCTGTCAGGACCCCTTCCATTGGGTAATGCTTGTCTTCATCCCTTTTTAATCAGCTGGAACATGTTTCCTTAGCTTCTACTCAGTAACTTATAGAATGCAGTTAACAGATCCCACTGTATATACCTGAGATATTTTTTGTTTGTTTGTTTGACAGCGTCTGAGTTGGTAAAGCAGATTTAGTATCTCTACTTTTATATGTTTAAACTTCTCCTGAGGGTTTGGAAAAGAATGACTTACAAAAAGCTAAATTAGGGTAATTGTTTGGAAAGTTTGCAGAGCTGAATGTACTGTTTGGCTCCCAGAGTTCAACTGGCCCTCCACAGTCAGCTGAAAAAGAAAACATTTCAAAAACATAATTAACCTTTTTGTCTTAATCTTTTAATCTGTGGTAACAACGATAATTTCTAGAAGTAATTTTCATGATTATTGGTCTGCACACTCTAACCATGACAGAAATATGAAGACAAGGATATGATACAGTCATATGTCTCAAACCATTACTTTGTTTTCTTCAGGACCCCAAAGCCTTTTATAGCTAAACCTTCTTAGTGGTTAAACCAGTAATTTGCTTTTTCATTGGAATAACTGTTCTAGTAGGAAAGACCTTTGTCATAAGGATGCATTTGTACTTACAGATAAAAATTAATACAATTTCTGTAAAAACCAAACATTGCAGGTATGTGTACACACATATATACATGTACTCACAACAGGGACACAGCTAACTATACTTTATATATTCAATATTGTTTCAATTATAATTTTGATGGTGGTTGACATCCCAAATATGTCAGCTTCATGTTCAAAAACTTTACTTGATATTGAGAAATATTATTTATTTTCATTTTAGCCATCAGAATGACTAAATGAACCATGAGAATGAACTTCGGTGTTTTTCCAGTTTTGTTGCTCACAGTTACTTCAATCAAAAATGAACAGTACTTCTTCACTTGCTTCAGGAAATCGTAGTTAAGGCAAAACAGCTTTACCTTCTTTGGTTGTTTTTCTGTGTTTTTTTTTTTTTTTTAATGTTCTATTCCTTGAATTAAAATTGTGTTGCTTTTTTTTTAAACCCTCAGACTTTGGCTGAACTTCAACTCTCTCCTCCCCACCCCTTTATGGCTCTAATTTGCATGCCATGATGTCTGATAGCATCTCACATTCTGAGGAGCCCCTTGGTTGGGGACTGCAAAATCTACAAGTCCTGCCAAGTCTGACCACTGAATCTCACAGGAAGAAAGCTCAAAAAAAAAAAAAAAAAACCAACAAAAAACCCCAAAAAAACCCAAAAAAAACAAAGCAAAAAAAAAAAAACAAAAAAAACCCCCAAAACCAAAAAAACACCAAAAACAAAACAAAAAAAAACCCCAAAACCAAGAAAAACTTGAACTTCCTCACAACCTCCATTTTCTAGAACTTTCTGTTTCACCAAATCACTCCTGTCAAGAAAAGCTGAATGCTCAGAAAGAAAAAGGAACTGTTAATGATCTCATCCTGATTAATAAGTATATTATGTTTCAGCTATACGGTTCAGAAGGAAGATTATTTTCTAAAATTACCATGGACAACAGACAAAGATTACATTGGGGTTTTTTTTATTGGAATATTACGGCATTGTGAAATCTGATCTGATCTTGACTACATGTAAGGCACATTAATAGTGATCTTTGTCTAGCATGGCAAAATGAGAGAAGAAATTGAATTTACTCATGTCCTGAAACAATGTTCTAAAAATTTTCAGTGGTCTTTGAACATAAATTCATATGGAGTTATTCATAGAGCTATTACTCATTAGAAAACCAAGCAATAATCACTACCAACAATCTTGGTCGAGCACAGCAGATGACTTTCTCAATATTTTAGAATTATATATGACCTGTATCTCTGTGCTTTGGCCAAAACTTCAGTCTACATTGACATAAATGTGGAATGTGCACTGTCTTTTCCACACTGTCGTTTGTGTTAAAAGATAGATTATAAATTACCATGAAGATGAAAGTGATCTTTGTTTTAGATGAAAGCATACGGTGACAGACTTGTGCAAAAGACAAAAGGAAATCCAGCTTTCCCATGCCACCATCAAAAATATCCTTTTTTACATTTCAAGGAGCTTTTGTGGCACTGTGAATGATGCCAGTGACTTGTACTGAAGCTCTAATTCTGGTAAAAGAAATTGACTCAGCTCAAATTCTTTTATGTCTTGTTTATGGACATGACATTTGTAGTGAAATCATTAGTGTTAGTAAGCTTGTACACATTCATCAAAGTAATTTCATACTTCTTTGAAGATGATTGATAACAATCACTTTTTTTTTTCATCAGGTTACAGATAGCATGTAGTAGCATGTACCGATAAAATTATGAAAACAAGTTATTTTTTCCCCAGCAACATCTTAGATTGTCCTTTAGTATCATGGATCTCTTTAATCTCTTTCAAAAGGACTTATAAGCCATATTACCAAGTCCCTTTTTTGAATGGAAAAATTTTCTGACCATGCATTGGGCAGAGATCTATAGTTTGATATTCCCTTGGTGTTTCTCAGAAGCACTCAGCTACTGTTTACCACAGGGCTGTTGTACCATTAATCATTAACCTGCTGCTAACTTGTGAGCTGTGTTTACCCACAGCACCTGAAGGTTAGCTGGAGGGGGCAGACATCAGCATCTCTCCACAAAATTACTTTAATAAAAACTGCTAGTGAATTCCAAAACTCATTTTGAGGAACTATGACTGAAATTACTACAGTTATTCAAATTTCATTTTGCTGACATACACGCCTTGTTGAACTTTGTCTCCCCATGTCTCATGATGGAGCTCTAAAACTGCATTTTACTCTTATATTTAGAAGGTTTTTGCTTACCTGTCCTGATGCAGTGGATTTGGAGGTGACAGATTTGAAAGAATAATAATAGCATACAGTGTTTCAACATGAATACAATGTGAGCAGTCTTACTATTATTTTAATTTTAGACCATTTAGACTATTTTTAAATTTTTTCATGTTGTCAAGAGGGAAACCAGCTGTGCTTTGAAAGGCACAGTAAATCTAATAAGAGGCAGTCCTGGAACATGCTCAATGTTTGCTTTAATGATCTGAAGCTATGTCTGAATAGGCCTTTTGCAGAATTTTTATTTCCAAAATTTCATCCACTTACAGAATAAATTACAAAGTAAGCCCCATCAGATATTTTAATAATTTTTCCACAAGCTCTATTTATATTTGTATTGGTTTTTGCTTTGACTGTGCTTGGACTTAACATCATAAACAATGTTTCCTCTCTCTTATATAAGCTATCCAGATTTATAAGGATAGTGACAGGTATTTTCTCTGTTTTTTTTTGCTGTGAGATTTTCCTGTTTAGCTCTGTGAAACTGGAATGTTTTGAGGAAGCTTAAACCTCTGTGCTTTCCCCAGAGGGGAAAGGTTCTGGATCAAGCTGGACAATCTGTCTGGAGAGGCGTGGAACTTGACCTTAGTGTTATCCTGGAGATGAATTTAATAATTCTGACCAGAGGTTTTTATAAAACTGAGGTTGAAAATTCTGACCCACTCAAAGACAAATACAGCAATAGGAAATCAACAGGGATTTGGTGTTTACTTACTAGGAACTAATGGGGTGGTAGCAGCAGTTGGCCTCACAGTTGGCTCCACATAATTTTCTTCATTGCACTTTCCCTTCGTCAGGCCAGTGTCGTCCACGGCAATATCACTACGACCACGCCTTTTAAAGGCATCAAAAATAACCTGAATTCAGAAAAAAATTAGAATTTCATAATTTAATGAACTATTTTCAGCTACCTACGCTGTACCATTCTGTCTTTTCTTGAATGCTCTTATTTCCACTGTAATCTACACTGGTGCTGCAGTCAAGGGAAGGCATAGGGGATGTGAAAGAATTTCTCACAAAACAAAACAGCACTATTCAAACTGAGTGGATCATTCTAAGCAATGTAGTAACTTCTTCATTTAAATAATGAACATGATTTAAAAATATTCAATACCTTGGCTTTTTATGTATATTTTAAAAATGTAATTTTAAAAACAATTCTGCATTGCTCATCAGCCCAAACTTCTGAACTAATTACATAAAAAGCTAAAATTAATCTCATTTGTTCTTAGCTGCTCTTTAATATCCACATATTTAAAGCAATCCTGCAAAAAAGGAGTTAGTGCTGGTGAACTACAGTTAGGTTTAGCCATCTTCTAGAGATCATATGTGGTTACATGTTTCCTGAAATCTGATGCAGCCAGGTCACAGATGCATTTATTTCCTCAGTTGTTAAATGCATCTTTCTAGCAGTGCATGCCAGAAATAAATCAAAACTACTGTAGCAGGACAAACCATCCCAAATGCCTATAAAAATAAATTGTTTTCAAGAGAGAGAGGCTGAAAGAGTTGTCTGGACTAAATCTCCTCCTTTTGCTTACAGTTAAATCAAGTCAGTTGTAAATCATGTGTTACCAAAACCTCTTCCATCTGCAACACAGTTTCAGTGGATTAATCTGTAAGTAATTAGTGAAAACACTGATTCACAACCTGAAACAATTTAAATTTAAATCTTCTTATAGCTAAAAGCTTCACATCACCATCACTCTCAAGATTTTATATTCCACAGCAGATTTTGATACGCTTTGAACACTTTTGTTTTGTGGGAAGCTCTCATGATAACATTCATTGTTCCTTGACAATGATCATGTTTTTTGTCTTATGAAATATTAATACTTTAAATTCCAGAGTAGGGAAAAGGGGCTGTGAGAATTCAGCTGGGGATTCCAATCTTCTGCATGCTAATATTTATTTGATGGCAGGCATTTTTAAATGATACTAGGTATTATCTTTGGAACTGTGGAATTTTGGGTTCATTTTGCAGAAATCTCTGATATCAGTTTAGCTAAAATAAATGAAAAAAGAAAAAAAAAAGGTTCAACAAACCTTAAAATGAGATGTTTCATTTAAAGTTACTTGTCCATAATTCCAGTTGTTTCCATAGTTTCCTTCTTTCTTGAAAATTATTTTTTCCTGACCATGCTCATCACTTATGCTAACTCTTAAACGATAAACATTATCCCCATACATGAAATACCTGAGGGGGAAAAGCATTATGGTCTTATTAGAACAAAGTCAGATGCCATGAAAAAATGTCACTCTTTTTATTTTATAATGTTTTATGAAATTAGCATTAATTTGAAACAAGCATGAAAATAATATTAATTGTATGCTTAAGTGACACCTGGAATTGTATAAGCCTAGTTAAGCTTCATGAAAAGAAAACATTCCAGGGATTCTTAATATCCTTTTTATATAGAAATTAATATTGGATGCAGGGTGAAAAAGAAAATACATTATAGCTAACTGCAAAAGTCAAAGCTATGAAGGAGTTCAACTTCAGGCCTGGAGCTGAGACTGATTGTGGAAATTCAAACAGAACCAGGCTGGTGTAGCTGGCACGCTGAGTGGGATTAATATTTTAAATGAAAGAAAGCCCTTTGGGTATATTCTTAAACAAAATACATGTTTAGTAATTATGTAACAATACCAAAAGCTTAGACAATATGTATCTGAAGGGACCAAAGGCAAACTCAGAATTCTGACTCGCTCTTCTATGAATCCAGGTCGAATGGGTGTTGAAATATAATATCCTGCAAGAAAATGATCACATTTTAGCCAGGAGAGAAGAAATTTCTTTTTTAGTTTTTTACTTATTGAATTAGAGTTTTTATATTTAAAATAACATGAAGCACAGATAGTGTTGCATGATTTGGAAGATTCCAGACACGATTATCCCAAGATATATTCATTGTCAATGACATATTAAATTGAGTTTTTAAGCTTGGATACTCCTCAGAACTAGATAAGCACTGGGAAACTAGTTCTTTCTAAGTCAGTGGGAGTCCTGCCTGATATTCTGTGAAGGCAGCAATTCTCCTGCCTTTATGTTTCACATTTCTTGTGATTTTGCAGAAGAATTTCCCAACAATTTCATAATTCCTATTCATGTGACAATGGGAAGTATGGATTGTGTGCTGAGAGGGTAACAGAATGACTATGTGAATATTTTATAGCAAGGTGAGGGATTATAAACAAAGAAACTCCTTCTTTATTTGTGAAATTGTGTTTATAGCTTTTTTTCTGAGATAATTTGTTGTAGCTGGGAATTTGGACTTCTTGTCATATGAGGTCAGGCCATAGAAGCCCTGGAATTTCTCATAAGAAATGTAAATTTAGGCAGCTTTAAAATAAAATTCTTGCTTTATTGAAATCATGGCTGTAATGTCATATTTTCTTCTATCTAGTTAATACATATATATGCAAATATTATAGTAATAGAATTTTCAAATTAATATAATTATAATTTTAATTAGATTAATTAAATTATATACACTGTATTCTGTTATTAATACTTCCAGATTATCTAGTTTTTTCATGTGGCAGGCTAAAATTCCTGAAAATTAATCTGAAATCTGAATCAGGCCTTTAATTTCCTCTGTTGGCTTAGAGAGCCTGCAGTAAAATAGACATGGTGTCTAACTTAAAGAAAAAAGTTCTTCATATAGTCAAAGGGACAGTTCTCTGTCTTTGTTTTATCAATTCTCTGAGCATTCAGAATCAATTTTTAGTGTATTAAGGACTTTACTTTTCAGGAGCAGAAAAAAAAAAACACCAAATAAAAAAGTTTCACTGAATGTAATGGCTTCATAATAATGATGCAATTTACTCAAAATACAGAAATTTTAACATGCAACACAATAGTAACATTACACACAGGAACATTACATATGTCAGCTTAGACTTGGCACAGGAAAACAGAGAGCACCTAAAATGGATTAATGTTTTTGAGAGAGAGAAATCATCTTCAAGTGTTTTACTAAACAAATTTTTCATTATTTCATCTGATTTGCATTCTAGGAGCCAAGTGCAAAACAGTTTTCTGAAGATTGTTTAGAAAATGTGAATTTACTCAGAAAGGGATGAATAATTTCTGTCTGATAAAGTGCAGAATACTATTTTTCTTTTCCCAGGCGTAACTTCTTTCAGAATAATTTGCAATTTTTCCACTTATTTGTCACTGAATAAATTTCATGTAAGTCTTGTGTAGAATACCTATAACCATTGCAAAATCCAATTGTATTTTATCCGGTTTTAGCTGGACTGAGAAATCAACTGAGAGAGTGATTGTTTGGCTTTATTGTTGAAGCAGAAAAAAACTTAAGGGATCTAAAGCTGGTATAAAGAGTCATAATACAGTCAAAATCCAATTCCTATCAGTATTGTCTCTTTAAATAAATTCCACTTTTGATATGACCACACTTCCAATTAAATTCTTTAACTGTAACAGTGAAATATATGTGTTTGTGTGTTTGGCGCAGTTGGTGTGTTTGCTGTGCAGTAACTGGGGACACAGATGCCCCCTGTAAACTGCAGGTCAACTTTATTTGAATCAAAATTATTTTGTGCAACGATGAGGATGTCAGCAGTAGAGAAGGATGAAACAGAAGTGATTTGCCTAATAATGCAATTATACCTTTTTTCCTTCAAGTTAAACATACAGGTTTTTGACCTATAACATTTTACATTTTTGCCCAATAGAAATTCCTTTCTCAGATAAGGCAATTTGATGTAATTAAAATCATTGAAATTTTTAGTACCTCACACTTAAATTTTTTTTTTTTTTTTTTTTTTTTTTTTACTTTTAGTTTTGGTATGCTTCCACAAGATGACAATCAGAAATCAAAAGGATGGAACATTTTATCTAGTAGCCCTGACATTTTTATGGCAGGATAATACAACATCCTAGTAATACCACTATAAAGAATAATGCAGTGATATAAGCTAAATCAAGTTTTTCCTTTAATCTTCAAGCCATTTTTTTGATCTTACCTGAAAAGTTGCCAAATGTATGATCAAATTCAGGACCACTCATGAAGGGAAAGGTAGGACCCTGAACTCTGTCCCAGTCTGAATCATCATCTAAATCTTGTATCCAGAAACAAAACCCGTCTTCAAAAGTGCAATTGATTTTCTCATAATCTGTGAATAAGAATTTCTGGTAAATAAAAGATCACAGAGATGGTAAGTTTTTTCTTAGAATTACATGGGAAGAAGTGATGAATAATGTAAATTTTTAAATACAGTTGTAAACCAGCCCACAGTGACTTAATTTACTCTTTTTGCAATGCAACAAAATTATTCAAATAAGTGTGTTTGTACTTGTTAATAAAACACTATTTTTGAAGGGTAGCCCAACATACTCTTGCACTCATTCACCAACCCTCATTTCTGATCCTTCTTTTCCTCTTTTCTTTGCCAAGGCCTGGATTGCTCAGGCAGAATGGGCTCACCATTAGAGCAGAGTGCTGTGCTCCATGCCCTTGGGATGCCCCTTCCTTTCTTCCCATTTGCTCCTTCTTTGCTCACATGGCTTTGCTGCAGCATCCTCATCACTTTTATTCTCATGATATTTCAGTGTCTGCCCGTGGTGCCTTAACATGCAGGTTAGGCAGGGCTTCCACATGGCAGGAACTTGTTTTCTAGCATCTAGAGGGATCTGGCCCTTGAAACACGGATGAAAAATTAAATTTTACAATTCTAATAAAGATTTGTAAGGAATGGGTATGTTTATTTACAGCGCTGTGGATGCTTGTTGGACACATGCGTACCTCTGAGAACTCTTGATCCTTTTTTATTACTCTTACTAATTTCTATACGCATAGAATTTTACAATAGGTTAATGCATATTCATTTTGCTGATTTCACATTACACTTACAGCTAGTTACACTTGTACTCAGGTTTTGTCAGAAAGTACAGAAAGAACTCCTGGGTCACTCTGTCCTGTTTGTTTCAAGGCCTGAAGAGTCTTTCTTATATTTTATTTTTTAGTGTGGAAATTTGCATTCATTCTCTTTAGCTGGGGTAGTTTTGCTAGGCCTGCAGTTACTAAACTAAACAGCGTATTTAGTAAGCTTAAAGTGGCACATTTCACTTAAATCTAAATGAATTTTTACCCTGTTAAATTTTCACTGTGTCTCACCCTCTAGATGCTTCCTGCAGCATATTCCATCCCAGCCACATTCCCTGTTCATGCCCTGCTCCAAATTTAGCAGCCAAAGAAGCCTTCACTTATCCAATTACCAAAGCATGAGTCACATTGCTGCATTTTGTTGTCACTGTAGATTTACCTCATCCAGACTTTTCCTAAGGCCTGTTTACTGGAGCAGGTATTTTCCTGAGTGTTATTTCGAAATGTTGTTCTGAATTTTTTTTAATATAAAGATATTGAGGTCAACAATTTCATAGTGCTGATTAGTGAAGAAATTGGCTGAGAGGAATCTGACTGAGGTGCAAACGCAGTTTTATTTACACAGATGAGTTTTTTTAAGACATCACCCTACTGCTAGATACAGGCCTGTAAACCTGTGAATAGCCTTACAGAAATAATTTATTTGATCTTTAAAACAGTATGATTTTTTTTTTTAAGAGTGGATCTAGTTATTGGACTGAGGTCAGAAAATTCTGTTTCCCTTTCCACCTCCATTTTCTCAAACTGAAAATGTAGATTCACCAAAATTTTGGGATAAAAAAGAAACACAAAACCCAAACACACCCTCTCTCTCACACACACACATAACACTTACTGTTTAGTTCACTCTCATTAAATGCAGTGTATGTTGCATTAAAGCCATTATAATTCTCTGAATAATCAGACATAAATTGTGCTGTAGCCTCATGAGAAAAAATGTAAATTGTTTCAAGATTGGTCCCTGACAGAGAAGCTGAAAACAAATAAAAAAACCTTTCAGTCAGAGAGAAAATAATCACAAGCACATTAAACTTTCCAGTGTTGTCACAAAAGCACAGTGTATTAGTTTAGTCTTAAGGGATGGTTTTCCTGTTTTACTGCAATTCTGCTACAATAGCTTCAAACTCTTTAAGCATTTAACTGTTTGGCTGACATTTAAATATTCTGTATGTTCCATCTCTCATATCCACCAATATGGATATCAGCTAGTCTTTTAACCATTTCTCTTTTTCATTCTCCACCTATTTCCAAAAATAAGGATAAATAATAATATGTCTTTCTGATATACTTAACTTCCTATAGTCTATCTTCAGAATATGTTTTCAGTTTCTGATGGAATTCAGCTGAATAGGCTGAGTCTTGTGAAAAATGGGTACAATCCCAGTTTTCAGAGTAGAACACAGAGACAGAGATATGATATCATCAATATTCCAAGATCTGAGGAAAACAATGACATACTTGTAAAGGTTTTCGGGATGTTTTGTAACAATTTTCTCACCCAGGTTCAGTTTAGATGCTTTCATTTTATGATACTGTGTGATATTACAGGAACTTCTGACAATATATTTCCAATGAAATATGGATCCCACAGGACCATGAGGCTGATGAAGTTATCAAGATCATTCAAATAAGATCTCAAAAATCAAGTAGAAATTTCATAATGTATAAAGGTATTTTCTGGTCAAATTAAAAGGTAGACAGGTATATTCAGATTAATTGTCTAACAGGGTAACTTTATGCAGATCCAGTCTTTCTCCTAAATATATATGTGGAGTTTTTGGTACCTCAAAATGCTTATTTTACCGCTTAGATTTTAGTCTTATTAGCTGAAAAATAAACTTACCTCTTAAAACCTTATTTTGTCCTAATCCTTCAAAAATACTCAGCACATCTGCATATGGTTGTGTTTCAAAAGAAGTGAAGTTCAGTTTAATGGACAGCCCTTGAGGTACTCTAAGGCAACAAAAGAAACACAAACTCAGAACTGAAAATCTATTATTTGACTTCAGTAAAGTCATTGAAGTCATTAAGAGGTTGAATGAAAAGTTCAGAATCAACATGAATTTATATTTATCAAGATGATCTATTTTTCTAACTTGTAAAATTGCCAAAGGAATTGGGAGTAAACCCTTTGTAACAGTGTGCACACACCTTTACACACTGGAATTAATTTTACTGTAGAAACTGAATGTTCTGAACTCTAGAATGGGATTATCAGTTCTAGAAGGGGTTTTTTTGAATGGTTTTGGCTGGGTTTTATTGTCCTCTGCATCTCATTGCATAGCAATCATTTTTTCCATACATATTCCTCTTAGATATCTCACTGCTCAGGTAGACTTCCCAAACCCAGAGGAACAGTATAAAGACATGAATATGAGCAGCAAGATATCAAAATCTCTTTCCTGGAAGTCCAGAACACTGTCTCTTATGACAAAAAGAGGATTTGCATGCAGATTTGATGATCTCAAATCCACTCTTTGGGAAATTGTTACAAATCCAAATCATCACACACAAAGTTCAATGACAGAAGTCACTTAAAGTAAAGTGTAAAAATTATTGGCCTTATTTTGCTACAATTAAACTCTATGAATAATCTATATTTAACTTGTTCTCCCATTAGACACATATGGTAGTCCAAATTCTAAAACACTACCAGCTTAGCTACCACCATGCTGGGTTTTTTCCAGAATTCAGAGACTCAAAGAAAATAAGCTTTTAACAGCAATCTGCTGGTGCTTATCAATAATAATAAGTAGAGAAGCGTGAAATAAATACTTAGATATTTTGCCTTTTAAAATTTTTTGTTGTTGTAATTTTATATTTCTATAGATGGAAGAAATAACTTTGGTTAGAAAAGAGTAAAAAATATATTTGGAAGGTTCAAGAAGCTAAACTTTCAGGGAAATATTGAGCATATTGCTCTTTAAGGAGAGGAGATTGGATCTTCATTTGGAGTTAAACAGCATAAAAATGTAAAAGCTCTTCCTAAAGGTAATGGGGAAATATTTCTAGACAAAGGCAGGCACAAGAAAATCTAATATTGGATGTATTATAGGTTGACTTTTAACACATTTTTATAGGGATAATAAAAAACATATGTTACTGGAAAATTCAAAAGTTCCCTCCTGGAAACAACTTTTTTTTGAAAGAAAGACAAAAATTTGAGCACCACTGAATTTCTTAGGGCTTTACTCTCAGTGTTGCCTGATTTCTTAAAGTAGTTAAGTAGAAAATAAATTTTGATTTTTTTTAAAATCATTTTTCAATCTGTAATTGCACGTATATGCAGAACCTCTACCATATAATTTGCAATTGCTCATGATTCTTTCCAAAATGAAGTTTTTACTAGCTACATACCTGGTATAGATATCTACCTAATACAATGCTTCCTGCAGCCATAGCAGCACTTGGAGTAACACCAAAAGTTTAGAAGGAAGGAGGGCACTTGGGCCATGTTTATTTACTGGGCTCAAATTCTGCAATGCCATGAAATGAGGAACAGGGCAGACATATTCTGAAGGGAAAAATTCTTTTTCTTTTCCTGGGACACACCTCTGTTTTAAAGCCAGGTGCTATCAGTAATTACTGGTGAACAGTACCACTGAGGAGGAGAAGGAAAAAATGTACTAAACAGAAGGAAAACCATGATTTCAAGGTGAAGATGAAAGTTCTGAACAAAATCAAAGCCTAGCACTTTCAAAGGAGCCTTTGGAATGAGATGGTCAAATCTTTTGCAATTTTAAAGCCAATTTCTTAATCTCCTTTGAAATCTTCTGCCAAATTAATACTTCTCAGAATCAAAGAACAGCCATTATTGTGAAAACATAATAAGAATTACTGCCTTTCAAAGCAGTAACATCTGAATTAGCAATCACAGGGGGGATTTTTAGGACTGTATAATTTGTGATCATCCAATTTTTTAGATATGTAATTTTAGATGAGATTTATCATTATATAGTGTGGCTATCTTTTTTCTCCTTGGACTAAGAAATGCATGTAGAGAGTCAAAGTCAAAGAGTCTTCCCTGTCTGTAGGTATATATCCCTTATAAAAAAAAAAAATTCCACTTCTTATGCCTAAGGCTTAACAGGCATTTGCTGCTATTACATAAAATGCTAACTATGCAATTCTAAAACATATTTATAAATTACATAGCTACACAGGTACTCTTAATTCACATATGAAACCTTTACACCTAAGTCACAAGGGAATTCTTGAGAACTCTGTTAAATTAGAATTACATCATATTACTCATATAAAGCCATTATCTGAAGGCTACTATTTAATACAATCCTTTGGGAAAAAAAATCTTGGAATTATTTTGAGTTATGTGATTTATTTTGAGCTTACCCTTATGTTCCTCTGGATGTATATAACATACAAGATTTCTTAAAATTGTATCTAAGAATTTTTGTAAGTGGAAAAATTATTGATATAGTTGTGGAGCTTATGCATGAAAATTTTTAAAGAAAAGTTAAATAAAAACACAGGAGAAAATGGTAATACATATTTTCTGTGCTGGGGTATTTGAGAATAAAAGCAAATAGCATAAGACTATTGTGCAGGAAACAAGATCACTTCATAATCAAAAAAATGTTAGCTACAAAATTATTGGAAAATGGCTTACACTATTATCCACTGGCAAACAATGTTTTCATTATATGGCTTTGGATAATTCATAGAGTGAAAAAACCCAGAGGTACCAGTCAACATGAATTTTCCATCACAAACTGCAGCTGTAAAGATATAATGATGAACATTTGTCAGAATGACATTTGAAAAACAGAATCGGAGCCAAAATGTGGGTGACCAAATGTGGATATTGATTTACATGGATTACCTTGGAAATGCTTTATAAGCAACAATAGGAAGACAAAATAAAATACACTATCAACTTATTCTCATTTCTAATTCTTATCACTGTTTGATCTCAAAGTACTATGTGAGAAGAAAAGCAGTACAGAAAATTCATTTTTAAATTAGACACAATCCAACGAATCCAAACTAGTGTAAACCTATCGAAATAATTCAAAAACAGCAACTGGATTTAGGTAATCCAATACTTTCATTTTACTCTATACTTTTATAAAGAAACAGGGTCTTGCCTTACCAGTTCTTATCTACAACTACCTTAAATCAGAAAACTGTGTTTGTACTACCAGAGACAATTCGATATCATGTGAATAAATGCAAAAGAGGACATGGTCGACTATTGTTATCTCTACTTTTATGAGCTTCCTGGTTCATTGTCTTATATATTACTGAGTACTTGAAGAGATAAGTGGAACTCCCAGTTTTCCTGCCAGCTATTGAATTCATTCAGCTGAGGTAAATGTCATTTATCATAATCTATTTTTTCAAAGGGCTTTCAGTAATTTTTTTTTTCCTTGGTGTTGCTATTCCATTCTATGAAAATTCTTCACTCCAAAAAAAAAATAAAAAGAAAAAAAAGAATGTTTTTAAGCCTCAGCAAGATTGGAAATGATAATTCATGTAGAGATTTTTATTTCAGCAGACACTGAAGTATTGCTGAAGGTTTTGCTTCAACTCTTGAACATTATGTTAAGACTCTGTCTAATAATGATTTCTCTTCAGCTGTTTAAAAAAAGTATGATAGGGTTTTCACATAAGGATAAAATCAGTACCACACACATGCTGAGGCTTAAAAATACTTTTTTTCCCCCTATGATACACTGTGGTATCTGGAGAGGTAAGGACAAGTTCATCAATTTGAGGCAGATGATCAGAAATTATAGAGAGCTTTTAATTAATTTCAGAAATGAAATCATACCTATAATGACTGTCCAAATTACGAATAACCAATCATATTGAAAATTAAATGGGAATTTTATCGAACATATTCCTCCCCTGGGAAATTATATACGAAAGAATACATTGGGACTCTTTGTGTGTTCATTTTATAAGTGTAATATTCTTTCTGCCTTTCACTGTAGCTTAAGTAAAATTAAAAAACACAAAATAAAATTCAAGCTTTGTTTCAGGCAGCTGTACACCATAAATAAAGACTGCAGAATGAACTTTGCCAACAAGCCTAATGCATGAGCCAAAATAGAAACATATTCCCTTTTGCAATCTTTAAGAGGAAAACAGAACACATAAGATTTTAAATACATAGAAGGATAAGGTCCATGAATGATAGTTATTATTCTGTATTAGCATTAGAGCTGGGTATTGGTACTTTTTTCTCCATTTTAATTGACATATTTCCTGTTCTTACCAATGAGAAGAAGAAAATCAGTGTGAGAAGAAGGAAAGCACCCAGCTTGTTATCAATGAAGATTATGAAAAAGTGGTGCTGTTAACAAGTAAGACATAATCTGCTCTAAAAGGAATCTTATAGTATGGACAATAATAAAAAAGATAAGCATACTTTTCTAATAAAATCAACGACAAGTGTTTGCTCATTTATTTATCTTAGAATCACAGAATGGGTCAGGTCCATAATGGGTCCAACCTCCTTGCTCAAGCAGGATCAACCTAGAGCCCATGGGACAGGATTGTTTCCAGACACTTCAGGAATATCTCCAGTGAGGGACACTCCACAGCCTCTCTGGGTGATCTATTCCAGTGTTTGGTCACTGCACAGTGAAGAAATTCTTCCCCATATTTAGGTGGAACTTCCTGTGCATCCATTCCTGCCCATTGCCTCTTGTCCCATTGCTGGGCACCACTGAGCAGAGCCTGGTCCCTGCTCTAACCCCTCCCTGCAGACACTGACAGACACTGATGAGGTTCCCTCTCAGTCTCTTCTTGAGGCAGAATAACCCCAACTCCCTCAGCCTTTCCTCATAAGAGAGATGCTCCAGCCTTCTATTATTATGATTGTTCTTATTGTTCCCTTTTATTTGTTCCTTATCTCTTAAGAGACAGTGAGTAAATTCAATCAGGTCCTTAGGCAGACTAACAATAGTCAGTGCTTAGTGTGTCAAGAATGAGCAGGAAGAGGGCAGGGACTGGTCCTTTTTCCCTAGAGAACCTCCTAGTGCTTCCTCCTTGCAGGGAAAAAGCAGCTGTGGTCAAAGGTGGATGGGCATGGAAGTCATTACATTTTTGCCTCATCCTTGGAGCCCAAAGAAAAGCTGCAGTTGTTCATCTAAGGAGACAGGAGATAGACTTTGAAAGATATTTCTACTCTTTCCCCAACATGTATCTTGCTGTCTACTTCTATTTACTCATGTTCCATACATGGGACATTATGAGGGCTTCATTCTGTTAGCCTTGAATTTGAGGGAGAAACTCCCCAAACTGGTCAAATCAAGCCCACATATTCCACTTGACAGGATCTCTCTCTGCCAAAGGCCAGTTCATTACTTTCTGATTAATCTCTCAGTGCTGTAGTGATGCTGTGAGGTGAGTAATCACAAAATTACAATCCTGACATAAAATAACTGCAAAGAGTCTGCAGAAACCCCTCCTGGGATCAGCCTCCAGTCTCCCTTTCTGTACCCCTACGTGCTACGTGGCTGCTTTACAGCAATGCCAGTCATTATTAGTGGCTGCTGTTCAGACTTCACATTTCTCTGGAGACCCTTTCACTGAAATTGCTAGCTGTACTTTTGTGAAGCCTTTTGTTACTGCACTGCATTGCAGAGCCAGGAAGAAACATTTCAAGTTAATTTTAATCAATAAAACAAACAAAAAAAAAAGGGTGTTCAGTTGCTGATCTCTCCTGAGAATCTGAGATTTTACTGAACTTTCCCTAATGCAGGAAAAATATTACTAAAATTCACTTTTTAAGTCTATATTTTTAAGCCATTGACATTATGAAATCAGAGATACTAGAGGGAATAACAATCAAGATGAAAAACAAACCAAATTTTTTAGAGGACAACAACCCTTTTATATGCAGGAACACTTACAGAAGTGAATTATGAATTGGTCATGAATCTCATTGTGAAACTCTGAAGAACTTCTGAAAATCTAAACAATTTTAGATTTCATGTCATCATATTAAGTTTCTAGGAATAGGATGTGAAATATTAAAGATGTGGAAAAATTTGCAGCTATCCCAAAAGTGCATCCAGCTTCTTACCCCTCATTCCACTGGTTTTATAAAATCTGCTTAGAAACTTAAATACAAAAAATTAGAGAAGCTCTGAGGTTTTGGATAGGAAAGTCTGACAATGTGATATAAGAAACATGGATCAACAATTTATCCTCCTGCCAGAACTGTACTTCTATAAGGTTATGAGCCAAAACTGCTGCACTGGTGGTAACTGACCAAATTGTTTGGAAACACCAGGCATCAGTGAAGATGAACATGATGGTAGAAATGAGTGACTGAATAACTTTAACTTCTTGGGGTTATGTTACCAAATGCTTTCCATGGAACTAAGATCTAGCTGAACATTAGGATTTTCTGATTTCCTCAACTATAGAAGGACCAACTCAGACCCAATAATTATTATGAACTAGATAGATGCAGCTGTTATGAAAAGTAGATGTGCTTCAGTGAATATACTGCTGAAGTACTTTGATGGATCTTTTCCTTAAAATGTTCAGTCAAGTCTACCTCCTGAGCTGACTGCAGTCAGAAAAAAATGTAGGTAATGGGCAGAGAACCTGCAATTCTCTTTTCCTTTTTCCTGAAGAAAATTACATTTATGCAAGAGAGACTCAGCCTGTCACAAACCTTCAGGATCAAGCTTTCAGATTCTTTAAAAACATAATTGGTCTTTTACTTGCTTGTTTGTTTTTAAGTCCCAGCATTTCACATGTTTCTGAAAGCTGAAGCAGACTGTCCTCACTGTTTTCCTCTTCTCACAGCAAAATGAAAAGAAGCTTTCCAGATTTCTAGAACTAAATTATATAGTAAAAAAAAATAAAACAAAACCAACAACAAACAAAGTAACAAAGCAAAAAACAAGCAAGCAAACAAAACGCTCAGGGAGTTAATTGCTCCCATTTCTTCTAAAACATTTGCAATGTTCTCTTTGTCAGACAGTTTGTCAGACTTTTAACTGAGAGCTGAGGCTGTGGAGAGCGATGCAGGCAGCATTAACCCATACGCCTCCCCAGCAAAGCTGCAGAGCAGTTTGGTAAGGAGCGATGTGGTCAAACTCCTTGGTACAAAAAATTTCTTGGGGAAACCAGGAAGTCAGATGGAATCATAGAGCAGAATAACTTAGGTTAGAAAATGCCACCAAGGTCATTGAGTTCAGCCTGTGCCAGATCCCCCACCTTGTCAACCAGACCATGTCCAGTCATTTCTGGAGCCCCTCCAAGGATGGTGACTCCACCACCCCCCTGGGCAGCCTGTTCCAATGCTGGACATTTCTGTGAAGAAATTCTTCCTGATGCCCGACCTGAATGTCCCCTGGCACAGCTTGAGGTCATTTCCTCTTGTCCTGTCCCTACTTGCCTGGGAGAAGAGCCTGACCCACACCTGGCTCCATCCTCCTGGCAGGGAGTTGTGCAGAGTGAGAAGTTGATCCCTGAGCTGCCTTTTCTCCCAGCTCCTCACATGGATTGTTCTCCAACTTTATTGCCTTTCCATGGACCCTCTCCAGGCCCTCAATGTCCTTCTTGTGGTGAGGGGCCCAGAACTTGACATAGTACTCAAAGATAAGACAAAAGCAAACAAACTAACCAGCACTGCAAGATAAGAATTCTTTGTGTTAAACTCCAATGGGGTTTCAGGTCTGTAGTTTCACAGAATCAGAGACAGGCTGAGCTTGAATGGGACATGTATAGGTCACCTGGTCTGAGCACTGTTTGATATCACTGATACAAATCTTCATATTAAATTTCTATATTATTTTGTAATTTGCATAGGATTTATATTAGTAATATTTATATATTAAGCAACAAGTGTATAACTTTATATTAAAACAGAAGGACTCTAATATTTCATTATTTATTAAGCATATTCTTTATTAGTGACAATTTTGCAGAACGTTGTTTCCTCTTGCAAGATAAATATTATAAAAATCACTCATTATTATTTTTAGTAGAATTGATTTGGACTTCACTGTGCATTTCATTGCCCATAAACTATTTACAAACTACTGACAGTGTTTTAAACAGATGTTTAAAAAGACTGATTTACAGGAGTGTACATTCTTACCACATCTTTTTTCAGATTCATCCGAACCATCTGGGCAGTTCAAGACTCCATCACAAAAGAAATTTTTACTAATGCAGGTTGCACCATCAGCACAGAGTTCAGCAGGTGGCAAACACTCAGCTGGAATAATAAAGATGAGAGCAGTAACAGTATAACAATAATGCAGTCTCACTACAAAGGAAAATTGACTTACTTCTGGTTGCTTTACCACAAATCAAATCAACCACTCTATTGTGTTTTACAAAACTGCATTTTTAGAAGCCTGGAATGAAATATCACATACTAAAAAGATAAATTTGGCACAGAATGAAGACAGTTCTCAGAAGTGAAATATATTTTGAAACTAAGCTTGAAGTAAGGCTGGAAGAAAATATCTGTGAATTCCTTTTTTTTTTTTTTTCCTTTACACTAATAAACTACTTTATATAATATGATAAATGACATTTTCCAATTTCTTATGTTCAAATAATGTGAGAAAACTCTACTTTGGTTTAAATAACAGTGAAAAATCTCTGGATTTAGGTAAATAGAATTTAATTTATTTCTTCAGCTTTAACACATTACACTGTTGCACTTCATCATGCTAAGGAATCTGATTTTTTAACCAGCATATCCTACATAAAAGAGCCTTTAGATTCTTAAACACTAGAATTATCAGAAACCATATTCTTTTCAGATTTACAAATTAAATGTATAAATTAAGAGCAAATTTCTGTTAGAAGAATACTTGGGCAGATCCTTGAAATTGTACATCTTACTAATAGCCTTTTCCTAGAGCATAAATATTTATCTACTGAAAAAAAAAAAACTCTTAGTATTTAGAGGGTTTTGGTCTTAAATATCTGTAGAATTGAAGTAGGTCCTATTAAAGTGAACAGAAACATGCAGCTAAACTAAGTTTTGGACAACTACTAATTTGAAAATTCTTAAAATTTCATTAAATTCTGTAGAAATATTCACACAGTTCCTGGTCTCTTCTTCAATAAATGGTTACAGAAAAAGGTCAACATTTCTGATGCAAGAAGAAAAAATAGTAATCTACAAAATTTTATCTTTTTAATTTCTTTTTTATAGATCTCATTGTTCTGTAATCAGATTTAGTATGATATTGTGTGTCCCAGAGTGATATTGGCATGGATGTATTGTAACATTTCAAAGTGCTTTACAAAACACTCTCAGTGTTGGCAATGCAAATGTTACAAAGTCACAAGATTTACCATTTTGCATCTAACTGTAAATTAAAATGAACAAAACATAGTCCAGTAAAGTGTTGGAGGTGACACAGGCCAGTGAATGAATTTCCACAGATGAGCAGAGACAAAACTGTGCATTCTATACCCAGAGCAAAAATTACAACCAATAACCCAGGAAGAGATTCTGCTCAAGCCCCATCAGGCAAGAAATCATTGTTTACATGCAACATGATCAATTCTTGGTTTATTCAGCTCCGAAAACTAAACAGCACTGCCACCTCCTGGATTGAAGGAAATCAACTTTTCCTACTTAAACATTCTGACTTCTATTTTAAATGGCAAATTACCCTAAAATGTGCTGTAAGTGCTTTAATTCAAATAAAAAAGGACAGAAAACACATAAGACTCGAACACATTAGATTGCTTGTAGATATCAAATATATTTTACCATATAAGAAGGCTGGATAATGTTTTCAAAGATTCAAACATCTTCAGCTTTCTGTCTATTGGAAGTTATACTTTGCAATCAGTTTGATTATTTTACTTTATTTTCCTCATAAAAGTCAAGAAATAATACGAACTTTTTAAAAAAAGAGTAACTAGTGTTAATGTCAATGTGTGCATCAACATGCACTACACATGCAGCATTTTTGTAGCATGTACAATTTTAGAAGTCCCTTCTCCTTTAAGATGTTTCATTGGTCTAAACATACATATTCTGAATTTCCAGGAATGGAACACAAGGACTGAATGCTGTGAGGAGAGGCTGCACATGAGAAATTTTGCAATCTTGCAATCTCAGGTTGCTCTGTGTAACCTCCCTGCTCCTCCACACACACAGTTACTCACCCACTGTTGTTGAGGACTTGCTTGTGGTGACCTGTCCTGAACCTGGACAAACACAACCCAAGGTTAAAACTCTGCCTCTTGATCTCTGGGAGCACCTCTGTGGTTACTTGGGCAGAATTAAGCAGCAGTTAATCTGCTTTTATATCTGCATTATTGCAGATATTTAAAAAAAAAAAGGCAAAAAACACTCCCCACACTCCAGGTAATGATTTGGTAGTGCCAGCTTGAGTGGATTGGTCATGAAGCTCAAGTGTCACAAAAAACATAGGAAAAAGATATGTGAAACCCAAGTGTTTTAATAACTTCAAAATATTTCTTTCCTCCTTCCACCTTCTCCCCACTAAAAGAGGAACAATTCTTTCTTGTCTTCCCCTGTAAAAGTTCTGACCTGAAGTTGGTGTCAGGGAACTTGTAATTAAACTCATGGGATCTGTTGAAACAAGAAAAGTTATGACATCAACATTAGTACTAAAAGGTAAATTTACATTTTCTGACAAATAAAATTGCTCTACAAGTAAATTAGGAGCCTCAAATCTATCTAGTATTTGTCTATTTACATACAGGTGTATAGATCTATATCTATACTGCTGGTGTACTTATTTGCACATGAACAAATACCTAGGTAAATAAGCAGATTTTTATTAGTGATTGTAAACTGCAAAAGATTCTGGAAAATGGAATGTGTATTTGTGGTTGCTCCAACAGAAGATCCACTTCATTGAAGATGCACCTGGCACTTCCAGCTCCCAAACAGACTTTTTTTTTTTCCTCTCTGAATTTGCTTTAGCATCCCTGTTTACTATTTTTACTTTCTAAATTAAGACTCAAACATCTGTGTAGGATTATGATGTTTTCAACTGAAAACAATCCCCATGTCACTGCAGGTACTGGATCCTGTACCTGCAGGATATAACATACAGGGATTATAATATTAAGGGTCTGAAGGAATAAAGTGGGAGATGCAGTAAGGATTTCTCTATAGTTTGTTGCCCATCAGATTTGTGGGCAGAAGTTGCTGCCCACTGGCCATCAACATCTTACTTTTGTTAGATATTTCTTCTCTCCCAGATCTAGTGTACAAACTTGCAGGAGGATTCCCCACCAATTTTTTATCAAAACATGCTTATTTAGCCAATACTATTAGGCTAAACTAGACCATTCTGGTTATGGTGCATTCTGTGTCAGCAGATTTAGGGACACAGTTTGCTTGGCAGAGAGAAACAAGAGCAGTGAAGAGATGGACTGTTCTCACAGCTACTGCTGAGAAAAAAAGCTTAATTCATGCCATCACAGGTTTTCAACGAGATACACACACACACACACACATAAACACACACACACACACACACACACACATATATATATATATAGTAATATATATGTATATATATTTATATCAACATATCTGTCTATACATTTACTACAGGATAACCAATTTAGAAGGAATTAAACGTTCCCAGGCCTAAAACCTAGATGCATGCAGGAGCAAACAATTCTAAGGAAACAGTTATCAGGGAGCTACATCTTGAAAACTGTTGACAAATTGTGGTTGCTACAGATGTTCCCAAAAGTGCAAGCACAAGTTGACAGAAAAATCCCTAAAGGAAAACACAGGACAGTGAAAGAAGCAGCAGTGATATAAGCACAATTACTAGAAAAATCTCACTAAGGCAACAGGGTGAGATGGCAAAGGATGTTTTTAGGGTCAGCAGGGCCATAACCCTGCATCCAGAATGTGTAAATGTACACATGTGGTAAAACGTGGGTATATTGTGGCATTTGGACTGAAACAGAAAGAACAAGGAGGTAGACAAAATTAACAAAAAGTACAAAAGTGACCTCAAGCAAAACCAAAGCCAAGGGAGAGGAATTTCACACCAGGAATATGTTTCCATTCCAACCTTGGGTGCTGACAATTCCCAACTCCCTTCCCCTTTCCTTAGGAACCTCCCCCAGTCTCCAAATTTTTGCTTGAGGGTGATTAACAACATTGAACTTAGGCCCAGGGGAGCATTAAGATAGCAAACCAGAGGAAGGGACAGATAGGGGAAAAAACTGAATGTTAGCATTTTAAACTGTATCTCTGGGAATAGCCTATAGTACTTGCACACTTTGGACTATACACGTTGGCAGACCTGTAACCAGACTAATAGTAACCCTTTCATTACTATGGCTGTAATTAGAATATCAGTAAATACTTGTCTCCTATATTTACAGGGGCAGTTTTTTAGCTTCTGCTCTGGTACCCTGCCCTGGAGAGTTTGTACATGATACTTTGCTTGTAGATTGTATGTGACTACCTTCACCTAGTGCTATAAAGCACTTATTGTATTGTTTATATCTCTGGCTGACTTTTGGCAGGTTTGTGAGACTAAGTTTGTCTGCTTCATGGCTTATAGTCATAAAATTTCCAGGGATAGTGGAAGAAAAATCTGTCTGTCACCATTGCTTAGTAAATCAATAACCCCAACATGAGAGCAGGACTCCCCAGCTTGATCTACCTCCCTAAATCTGCAAAATCTTCAGCTTGCAGCTCAGCTGATTAAAGGAGACTCATCTTTTGGTTTGATACTCTAATTAAGCTCCTACAGATTTTGTACAGGCTGCAGATCACTCACTGCTTTCTCAAATAGTCAGAAATGGTGGAAGCACTGAATGGACCCTGGCAGTCAAGCCTCAGCTGCAGCCAGAGCAGCTTTACTAAGTTATGTGAGCTGAACAGCAAGTCTTGTTTTCTTTCATCTTGTATTGGAAGCAAAAATTAGTGCCTGCTTTGAGAAAGATACTTACCTGATGAAGTTAAAGGCATCATTGTAGTAGGATTTTCAGCAGCTTCTGGAAGAAAGCAAGTTCATTATAAACTTCTTTTATCACACAGTGTCTAGTTTTAGATGACAGAAATAAAGATTAAAAAGAAACCAGCTGTGACTATTTCTCTTTGAATCCCTGTCAGTGTCCTGCTTCCCTCCTTTTGCCTCATTCTTTTACCCAGTCTTTTCTCAAACTCCATGATCTTCCCAAGGAGAAAAGATCCCAAAAATGAGTTGAGGTTATGAGGTTTCAAAGCCACTGCAGGTCCTTTCAATTCTCAATTCCTATTGATTGTATTGCACATAGAATGTCTTCACCTGGGAAATCTCTCTCAAGGCTTTTTATTCTATAGAGATTTGCAGAGCACCTGTGTATTAGAGAACAGTATTTAGAAGAGATGAATGAGAGTTAAAATCAACCTGGGATAGTTTACAAGAAAGAAAGTTACTTTTAATCACTGTGAAAAGTCATTTCAAGCAAGTCACACCTGTGTGACACCTCTCTCCCTCTCTGAAATAGGAATGTCTCTGGCAGAGCATATTGATATACACAGTGCAAAAGTGCCACATATGATTGTGATTGTTAATTAGTTACAATTATTTTATCAAAGCACTCCTGGTAGAATGGACAGGTGCTATCTCAGGTGAAAAGAGTATTTTGAATGATCCATAGCTGTAAAATTTCGACTACTTCAAAGTTCATCAATGGATGAACCTTTTAAGAGGCTCTTAATTATTTTTGGTGGCATTTTTGGAGTATAATGAGCAATCAATTTCCACAGTGTTGTGCAGTAATTTGTAATAAACCGTAAAGACAACAAAATATGCCCAGACTCTGAATTTAGCCTTTGAATACTTGAAGTATTTAACAAAAAATGCAGCTTTTAGTATAGAGTAAGAGACATGGCACAGCAGATTGCCACTCCACAGTTTTTACTTAATAGTAACTCCAGCACGTCTTCAAATGTCAGCTAATCAACTAATGCTTCAAAGAATTCAGATTGTTTTTTAACCTCATACTCAGTGAAGGGCTGTTTTGAAGCTTTATTCAGGTTAAAAAAAAAGATTCCCATTGATCTTGAAGGGCTCCCATTTAGACTTTGATATATTTTCTAGTACTTACATGAAATATGTGTATATTTGCAGAATTTAAAGCTACCTAGTCCTTAAAGCCCTGTTCATTTCCATCCCATTTACATTTACCTAGGCTCTACAGGAATATAGAGCCACTTCCCTGGGTGCACCTCTCCCAAAGCAGTTTGTTTTTCTACAGGACATATTGTTGAGTAAATGAGTTTTTACTCACTGCAACTCTGAGCCCTTTTCTTATTCTTTAGCAGAACAAAATTATAACTGTATTTTACTTATGAAACAACATGGCTGGGGTTTAATTGCTTTAATTAGAGGGCAAAAAATAACAAATATTATGCTTCATAAGAGCATAAGAGGTGAAATAGGGTCATTTTCACTGGGGAACCGCTACTTTGCCCTTTAGTCCCTCCTTAGGGAATGTACACAATGCTGGTTCATACTTTCTAGTAGAAAAGGTTGTAAATTCTTCTTTCAGCTGCTACTGAAACTTATGGAATGGGGAGGATGGCACCCAAGAGAAAAAGTAACAATCCAGTTGCTGTCTGGGAGCCAAAGCTTTCATTCTTGCTACCTGCAGTTCTGAAAGATTTTTAGAATTAAAACAAAAGACAAACAATCAAAAATCCAAACAAACAAACAAAACACCCCTCAAACAAAAACTTACTAAAATTACCTATGATTTGTATGCTGTTCACATCAATTTTCAAAGCCTTGGTAGGATTAGGGTTATTTGCAACGACACCCAAAACCAGCTCATTTTTTATTTTCTCAACTGTTACCATCTTGGTAAAGTAAAGGGTGAAGATCACAACCACGCTAGCAATACAAAACAGAGAAGTTAATTAGTTATTCAAGCTGATGAAAAAATCTGCTATATGACATAATCTAGAGAATAGTTCATTCTAACACTGGTTCCATTGGCAAAGGCAGATTGTTTTTTAAATATTGGCTGGCAAAGATGACATAAAGAAACATCTCTTAATCATCAGGTCAGTTTGAACCTTGGAGAAACTTTGTTTTTTCTTTATCTACTCTTACTTGCACTGTCAGAAAAAAATAAAAAAACCAAAACAAGACAACATTCATTTCAATTGCTGCAATGGAGTTGAACTTGAGGAAAACTAAAGTAGCTTTACTGTTATTCAATAGGTTTAGCCCTAAAATATTGAAGGTGGATATGGAGGTATAACAAAAATTGTATAATACGGCAAAATATAATACAAAGTGACCATTTTTATAAAGCAAATCTTTGGATTCTGCATTTTTGCAGATCTGCTGTGTGATTGGCTGGATTCTCACAAGGAAACAATGATGGCTGAAAACAGAGATATTTAAAAATTGCGATTAAACTGCATTTAACGTCTGTGAATTTTATCCAGAGTGTTTTCTGTTTGTTCTCTCTGTCCTTTCTATTCACTGTTATGAAGTTTTATGTTTGCAGCTAGAGTAAAGTAATGTTGAAGTATGACACTTGCCAAAGATACACATTTCCTCCTTAAATTTAAGTGTAAACTTTTTTATCATTAAACTACCCACTTGCAACTGATTCAGTAGTGCTCTCTGTAAGGAGTGATTAATCCTGTTTTGCTGAGCACAGTTTGTAGTTTGCAATATGTAGAAAAGCTCTTTCTTGCATATTCCTGATAACCTCTAGGCCATGCTGAGCAAACAAAAGCTTTTATTGCTGTCCTTGTGACTCAGCAGCAGCGTTTCAAGGGTGAAATGCCAAGCAGATTGCCTGAAGGGGTAAACACTTTTAAAATGAAAAGAAAGTAATGTCTGAGACAAAGTTACGAAAGCAGAAGTGAAGACAGATCCTTACTATTGTATTAGAAACAGGATCCAACATTCAAAACCAGCAGATTTTCTGCAATTTCTATGATTGTTGTGTCAAGATACCATGGTGGAATGAGTTTTGTCCAACACAGTTATTTACAGGGAAGATATATAGATTATCATTTTGGTTGATAGAAATAAATAAGCTGTTCTTAGGCATAATTTGGTCTCCTCCTAAAAAAAGGCATCAGATCTGACCAGATGGGAAAGCTAAAAACCCAGCACTTACAAAGACAGCCTTAAGCAAACCATTCAGAGATATCTCCTTCTTTGATGCCCAAATTTTGATGAGAATAGTCCCTTTCTTTGTGCAGAAACCAAATTTCCTGACTGGATCTACCTTCATGAGGACAGCACTTTGGAAGTGGCCTACTCCTGCTGCTGTGTAGTCCATTCCCTTAATGTTATATAATCCTTCATAAACTGATCATATTCCACTTCCTAGCTAATAGGGTTATGTCCTCGCTATTTCAATCAAAAGATTGTTCCAGTGTAAATCTGCTTCCCATTGCTTACTGATATTCGTGGTCAGATAATATCCCAATATCTTGTTTGTTTCTTTTTTCAAGGATAGTCATTCAAGTAAACTAATCCCCTCTACATATTTATCAACTTTATGTACTTACATTGATATCACAAGAACATGTGGTAGCACAGAACTATTGATCTGTTTTCATGTAATGTGTACTTTAATTTTCTGGGTTCACCTATGAGACAACCAATTATACCATTCATTTCCCAGGGCTCTTCAGTTCTGCTAGAGTTTTAATCTTTTGTCCTCTGTTTTGTTCTTGCCTGTCACAGTGTGTCATTAGACTTCTCTTGATTTAAAACTCAAGTTACTGATAGTTACATGAAATCTGAACCCAGTTTAATCACTTTTACATGAGTAAACTCAGCACAAACCTATATCTTTTACTTTCTGGATCATTTCTTATCTTTCTCTCTCTTCCATTTTTCTTTCTAAATTGACAGTCTCAGGGACTATCACTTTTTTTTTTTTTCATTTAATCCTAAAGGAAGTTTTAAGAGGAAAGATATGTCTTGAAGCTTCATCCTCTTTTGAGGGCCTTATCTAAATTCTAAAAGTGTTAGGGTTTTGGTTTTTTTTAAAATCTATTCACAGCCCACAGACAAACTGTCTAAATTAGTTGCATCATTGTCTCTTGCCTATAGTTTAAGTAAACTTTGTTATATAAAATTACCTGGTCTCTGATGTCAATCTGCCATGGCCATCTTCAGATTTCCTGTAGAAAAAGAAGCAACAATAAAAAAGAAAAAACCACAACCAACATCACATAGTTCCCATTGAGATTAGAATGTTTTGGACAGGATGGGAATGCATCTTGGAACAGTTTGATAATGAGAGACAGTGTTATAGGTGTTTTGCTGAATCAGGACGTTATTAAGAATAGTGCAGATGGAATTAACACCAGAGACCTGGATGTAAAACCTGGATATTTTTGTCAGCTGGCCTTCAGTAGGACAACCAACACCCCAGGATATTGAAAATGAGCTTTACTAAATGAAGCAGATCTTACTGTACCAATTTATGGAATTTTTAGGATGCAGAGGCTGCACCTTTTCCTGGTGTCAAATGACAGCCTTATTTGATAACGCCCTAAGGAGTGTGAATTAAGTGGATTTGTATCCATAAGGACATAAGAATGTCTGAGCCTCCAGGCTTATGCCAGGAGATTTCTAACCTGAAATTTCTTTTAGATGGCAAGGCTCAGAAGCCCTGCAAACAGCACCTTGGCAAAAAAATAATGCAGCAGTTCTTTGAAATATGGAATTTTTCTGAGTGGGTGTTAGCAGTCAACCTTATTGATTTGGTCAAGGCAGGGACACACATCTGCTTGAAAAGGAAGTTTGCCCAGGGAAACACACTTGGTGTCAAATTGAGCACATTGGAAGATGTATGGTGTGAAAAGCATAATATAGGAGGTTCCCAAGGATGTATTGATAATCAAGGTAATTAATTCTGAGAGAAATATCTAAATGAGGACTTTTGACATTTATTTTCAATGTTAAATTAAGCTGTACCTACTTGAACTGGGAAATTTCACATCTCTCAAATTTGTATTTCAGATCACTTTCTTGAAAGATATTTTGTATCTATATGAAAAAGAGAAATCTTGAACCAATACAAAAATTAAAAATACACACATTCTCACACAATAATAATGGCTTTAGTACTAAATAACCTTTTCTCAACTACATAAGCAAGGTATTTCTTTGATAATTCACCGATTTTCTCAAATAAGGAATATATTGGGTTCTGACCAGGCTTAGGACCTGAAATAGCTCTTTGAGAAAAAAACCCATCAACAGCAGTTAATGTTAGGGGTTTACTGTACCTACAAATACTCTTGAATAAAGCACAAGCTGATAGGTTCTTACCAATTTTTCGACATCAAAGGCAAGGACTTTGAAATCAGCTGATGAACTGTTTTGTAAGGTTGAAGTGAAAGACGTGCCAGAGGCTATTTTAAATATTCCCACATAGTCATGAGTATTCACATCTGCTTCAGCTAGATAATTTTAAAAAAGGTGTTTTAATTATATAGAAATACATGAAAACTATTGCATTAGATTTTATTTGACACAGATTACCAATACAATAATTTCTAGATTTTTTTACTGCTTTGTGATGACTGATGCTCTGCCTAGTGCTGAGTTTAAAGAAAAAAATAGATGTTTTTTGATGTTTACAATAGTTATAACTGTAATCATATTTTTATGAATACTCTTTGCCCCTAGTTCTCATTACTTTCCATTTTGTTTTCGATGTGTTTTCCAGCAACACTGTGAGTGCATAAAGGATACAATGACATGCCCAATTATGTCTAACAAAAGGGACAGAGATGAACAGGAAGACAAATAGTGAATTATGAGGATTTTTTATGTTCTGGATAAAAAATATTATGAATTATTGCCTCACACTTTACGTATTTGTGCTGTGCTCTTTTTTATATGTGTAAACTGTTTTCGATGACAGCACTGGAAATATTCAGTGTCAGAATAGTTTAATTATTTTTGACCTGACCTGTCTCACCAATACATATATGAAATTCTGGGAGAATTTATAAAAATTTAGACAACTGGTCCTTGCTGCAAATTTAATCTTGATTTTAAGATGCTACAGGACATCAGGTATTCATAAAGGAATTCATTACACATATAAAATATAATTCTTCACTGTGTAACACACTGGAAATTCTCAGAAAATATCTGAATTAGAGTTGATTGATAGCAAATGCCTTTTGCTTACCAGTTGCAGTACCAGTGGCATTTTCGATTGTGTTTGAAGGCACTAACATCAAAGCAAGTTTTAAGACAAAAGCAGATCTCAGAGACTGAAATATTACAGTTCATGGCTTAAACATCGTTATGAAGGAGTTTTTCCCATTATGGAAAAGCTGCATAAAGAGGCTGTGACCACTCTCCTCCCTGAAGCCACCTCCTAACAGGAACCTGGGCATTCCCACCTGGCCCAAATGTGTATTAATTCACAGGATTCTGTGTTTTTCAAGAAACCTTTACCACTAAGAAGATCAACAGGATCAAGATCCATGGAGTGTTGATATTTTCTCCTTAATCTGTTTCCACCTTACTCTCCCCTCCCAGTCCCCTCTTTCCTATTTCTTCCTTTTTATCTCATTTACTGTTGATAAACCCCATAATATTGATTTTGGCATATGGTCTCATTTGCACGTCAATTTGGGCAGAGGCATTTCTAAATAATTTAATAACTGAATAAAAGCAGATAAGCAATAAATACTACAACGAACAGTTTATTATGGAAGGCATAGCATAATGACACCAATATAATATCAGCTAATAATATTAGAATGCTTTGAGCTTCTTTGAAGGCTTTTCCTTAAAATAATTTCAAATCTGTTTAAAAAATACTTCTAAATAGCAAAAGCCTTTTTAAATTATACATCGACTATAATTAAAAATATTTTATAATCATATTTCTACAAGTTTTTGCCTATTTTTCTTCTAAAAACAAGGTCATTAAGTAAAACCCTGTCTCTATATTCAATAAGACACCCTTTTATTTTACTGGAGTGTGGTAACATTCTAGTAAGAAGGTAAGAAAGTTGGTAGGTGGTGCAGTTTTTAAAATCTGGAAATAATGGCAACTGAAGGAACAAATATGATATTGTGACATAATGGCTGTGGTTGATTGTTTTTATTTTTTTAATGTAAGTCTTATAGAAAATTCAGTCTTCATGAAAATTTAGCTGTCAGAATGAAATGCTATGGATTTTTGGTTAATGAAAGCAGTAAAATCATCAATGTAACAGAATATTTCTTCAGCAACAAAAATCACTTTGAGACTCTCTAGTAGCCCCATATCCCTCACATGTTTTGGAACCCTGAGCTGGGTGTGACCCTCCCACTTATATCCACATTATTTCTTAACCAAAATTTTAATTCCAATTGAAAATCATGAAACATTGATAATTTAGTTTGCTTTGAGTATCGGTAACTTCTTCCCTCACATTTCAAGAACTGAATAAAGGCTAAGAGTGACTTTACCTGAGCTTTACATGGTGCAGGCAGCTCTTTGGTGCAGGAACTCTCTCACACCAATAAATTACTTTAAAATATTTTTTCAATAAAAAATTAATTGATTCCAAGGGTTAGTCCCCACAAACTCTAGGGGATTATTAGCTTTTCAGTGGATTATTTGTATTCTGATTCAAAACTCATACATGGAGAAAAAGGCAAAATTTCACAGTTTTCCATATTACCTTCACTAATTGATGAATATGGTGGAATTACCCAAACTTTATAGCTTGGATTTCATCTTAGGGACCTTTCCCAAAGCCTAAACCATGAAAATTATTTTATATGCCTTTAGAGCATAATTCCAGTGCTTGTTTTTCCCCCCCTATTTTGTTCACATCATTTTTCAGGGGAGGAAAACACATAAACCCTAGAACAACACTTCCCCTGACCCCAGCATTAAAAACATAGCATGAAATAAAAACATACAACTACAATTGTAAGAGCACTGCCTTCAAAGGAATTCCTAAAGGTCTGTAGCTAAAGATTGGCTACTCACCTCGTTCCAACTCCTGGATTGATAACCAAGACAGTACAATCAATCCAACACAAATACACACAAAAATTGCAAGTAGAGAAGCAAAGAAAATCTCATAGCTATTAAGAGGAACATATTTCCTATCAAATGATTTTTGCATCTTCATTTCTGTCTCAAAAACTTCTGTGAATTAAGGACTGACAAAAGACACAGCCTGAGAAGGAAAATAATAATCCACATGAACAGATATTTATAGGAGATGCTTGTAAATGAATTACATCATAAAACTTCTCTGACATAGGTTTTTACAACATTCCTGAGTAGTCATAATCATGCACAGGATATGCAAATAAGAAGAAAAGAAATCCACTCAAAGAAGAAGCACTGAAGATACTTGTCTCAGATAAAGAACAAGCAAACCCACAGAAATGTAAGGTTAGTCACTGGATTTGCACTATTTATTGTAATTTGATATTTTTGAGTGACAATATAAAATATTGCTGCCAAATTTATTGCCTATATCATTTTCTTTTGATAATTCCTTAATTATCTTAAGGGTAATCACGAAGACAACAGTGAAAGACATATCTTTCCTCATTCTGCTTAAAAAGTTCCTTTAAAAGTAATTTTATTTATAAAGGAAGTGCTGGGAAATGAATTGTTTAGTAACGTGTCATAGCTCAGCAACGTGTTCAGCACTGAACAGCAATTCAGCAGCACAAATTTAATCTGTGTAAGGCATGGTTCTTTGACCACAGAACTGGAGAACTAATCAGAGAAGACATTATGAAATGCGTGCTTGTTTTGTATTTTCTTGCCAGGCATAAATGTGCTATGGGATGCAAGTCCTTGATAAAGTTAAAGCACTGTGGATGGCAAGCGCTACTACGATAGTAGAGCAGGAGTAAATTAAAAGGCTGTGTAGTAACCAGTGTAACCATCTGGTTATAAATTGAATCTGTCAAAACTCTTGAGTTTCAGAAAAGTAAAGTCATACTGATTCTATGTTTTGGGCTCTGGGAGTTACTGTTTTTGACTCTCAGTCAGAGCACCAAACCCAGATTTGTGGTATGACACTCTTCCTTGTGGAGAATCCGACCACACCAGCCATATTCCTGCCTGTCAAAGGAAAGGGAAACTTCTGAGTCAATCTTTGGAAGAGTGAAGCTCTACTATCTGTTAATTGACAGAAATGGAGATAATATAAATTGGGAAGAAATGAGAAAGTCTTGAAATGAGACTCCTGGATGACATAGCAGTTCTCTGTCTAGTCTTTGAGAACTGTGGTATTTGAAAGGATTGCCATTTGAAATTATATAAAGTTCTAAATCAAAAACAAAATCTCGGCCTGACCTTCATTTAGTGTAATATCATACCATAATGAAAGCAATATAGTAATATTTCACCTTGATAAAAAGAAATAATTATTTACTTATACCCAAAGTTTTTAAAACTAAATTCAGTGCAGCTTAATCATACTGCCCTTACAGAGCAAGAGAAAACTGAGTCTGTATCTTGCAAATGGATTCGATCTCTGGGTCATCATGCTAGATAGAGTAGGAATTGCTTTTGTATATATTGTATATCACAGACACACACATATATGAATACAAATGTGTGTAGATATAGATGCATACTCATGACCAGATCATATTTGTAGTGCTGAGCACTGCTAAACTGTGGCACAGTAGTGTCTTTGTAACTTTTTGTGCTTTCTCAGCGATAATTTTAATACCCTTCATTTCAAGGGGTTTAAGTTTTGACACCTTTCTGAACACTGACTCTATCACACAAATTGATGATGTCTCTAAATAATTCACTTGGCTCAGCTATTAGGTTATCCCACACCTAGCAGAGTTGTGCCACCGCAGGGAGTAGGGGAAGGATGTGAAGAGGAGGGAGTGACAGAGAGCTGTTATGGACTGACCACAAGCCCTTAGTCCTCATCTCCTTGCACCCCCTGAGGATGGCTATGAATTATTTTTGCCCTGCTGTGTTGAGGAGAGCATTGAGGAATCTTCTGAGTGGGCATCTGGCAGCCAGGTAAGGTTAAATCACTGCAATTGTCCATTCTGCCTGAAACAATACTAGTTTAGTCCTGTCTTATCCCTAATCAAATATTTTTTATTACAAGTTGGAGGAATTTTGTGCAGATGGACTTTGATTCCTCTCTCATATTTTGCATAATTTTGCTATTTGTATCGATACCATATATAACTAATAAAAGACAAACACTATTACCCAAAGATGCCACTGCATTTTAAATTCTGACTTTATGCTCTAATGGTGAAGAGATTAGCCCAGAGGAGTAAAACCTGTGGCCACTTACAATTCACACAGATTGATTACAGCCTGGCCAAAGACATAACTTAGCATGGGTAGTCTCAAGTTGGAGTTGTGACTCCTGCAAATGAAGTCATTTGCTAAACAATTTTATTTGGCTATAAGGCCATGGTAGCAATACTTAATAGGCAAGCCTTGGACACTGAGGCAATAGTAATTAAAAGTGAGTTCTTGGATTAATTTGTTTGCAAAATATTATAGTTTGAACTCGTATGAGCTGGTTGTAAAACAATATAAGAACCCATGTTTTCACATTTTCATTTGTAAACCTTCCATATGAGGGGGGCAGAATTCAACAGTGTGCCAATGCTTGCTTGCCAGCAGTCAGGAATTACAGAAACAGAGAGGTTTATGCTGGAAGAGACCTATGACAAGCATCTGGTCCCGCTCCTGCTTGAGACAGGGTTAAGTGAAAGTAGATCAGGCTGTTCAGGGTCATGTCAAGGCAAGATCTAAACATTTCCAAGGTGGAAGGCTCCATAAACACTATGCATTGACTCCCTGCATAGTGATTTTCTCCTCCCCTCTGTGTCTTATTGGAATATCAGCTGCTGCAATTTGTGTTTGTTGCCTCTTGGGCTTTGCCTTTGTAATTCTGGGAAGAATCCATTTGCCTTCTCTGCAATCATCCCTTAGATATCTGAAGGCAGCAATTAGAAATCCCTATCAGCTTGTCAGGTTCAATCAGTACTGGGACATTGGGTTACTTCACCCAGATGCTGGACTTTGGACTTGTTGAACTTGGTTGAACATTATGGAGTTTATTCCAGGACATTTCTATGCCTTTTAATGATGAGCACATCCTGTGACTGCAAACTGCCCTCTAGACATTGACTTCATTTGCTTCTACTTTTATTCCTTGTATAAATCTTTTCTTGTTCATTCTTCTTCTGCAGTCTTAGTTGCATTTTTTTTTTTTTTAATTTTCAGCATAATCCTAAAATTTGCTTTTTACTTTAATTTCCTTTGTGGATTGATAGGACTCTTGAAAGCTGGATTTGGAAGGTTTACTGCATGACTAAACTGATGAAATTGTATGATCCATTCAGGAAAAGGGTGAGCATTAACCACTGTTACTAACAGTTTACTACCACCTACTGCAAGTTGTGAATATTCACAGGTCATGGACACCCTGCAGCAAAGAAATTAATCACCTAAGGAAATAACGCAAAATTAAAAATAAATTAGATTACTCAGTTGAAACTAATAAAATCAGTTGCATGTTATTTTCTAAACTGTAGTTTTATGACTCTACTTATAAACTTTATGATAAAATAATACAACATGATTTTAAAATACTTTAAATTATATAAAGGCAAATACTCTATTAATGTGATAAAACTCAGAGAAAGATGACAATTTATTTAATGTTGATAATATAGGTTTTTATAATAATTACTATAGCCATACAAGTGAAACTTTATGTTACATAATTTTTAAAGAAATAGGCCATTGACAGGGTAGAAATCTAATGGCTTCACAATTTAGGTCATTTATACTGCATCCATATCTGCAATTCCAGTTTTGTAGCCTTATTGGGCTGCTTTTATATCCTTGCTTGATCAGGCTCCAGCACAGGGTGAAAAGACTGCTGACATAGGAGGAGAGAGGATGTTGTACTCAGATAATTCCTCTAATACCCAGACTATCACAAACATACTTAAAACCTGACATTACATTAATGATTGGCTCTCTGTGGGAAAACGTTTTGTCACCCCCCACAGACTTGCACTGACCTATCAAAAAAATGAAAATCAACTTTCTTTTGACAGCTCCTTTCAGATGTCTAAAGTGTCTGTCCCTTTCCCTATGCAGACATCCAGAGAAGACAAAAAACCAAATCAAAAATCTGCTGTGAAGGTACAGAAAGGGATTATGAGCTATTTTCACCAAAAGGATAAGTTTAAAAGGAGAAGTTTAAAATGGAGATCATATGGGAGAACAACTTCTCAGTAATGGTAGAATCACAGACTGGACTGGATTGAAAGGGAACTTTAAGATCATCTCATTCAACCTTCCTGCTATGGACAGGGACACCTTCCACTAGATGAGGTTGCTCAGAGCCCCATCCAGCCCATGCCTGTGCCTTACCACCCCCAAAGTAAAGAATTTCTTTCTAATATACAATCTAAACCTACCATCTTTTAGCGTGAATCCATTCCCCCTTGTCCTGTCCCTCCAGGTGCTCGTAAACAGTCTCTCTTCATCTTTTCTGTTGGCTCCCTTCAGGTACTGGAACTCCACAATTATGTCACCCCAATGATGTTCCAGGCTGTTCCAGGCTGAACAATTCCAATTCTCTCAGCCTTTCCTTATAGGAGAGGTGCTCCATCCCTCTGATCAGCTTGATGGCCCTTCTTTGGATGTGCTCCAACAGGTTCATGTCACTCCTGTGCTGGGGACCCCACAGCTGGATTGCAGTAACGCCATATTTAAAAAAAAAAAAAAAAAAAAAAAAAGAGGAGGAAAAATATCCATGGTAGTGGTCACCCAGCTGTGAAACTTCATATGAAGGGAAAAACATGGACCTCATCTCCTAAAAAAGTTATCAGAAGTTTTAGTTAGAAAAATTTAATTATTTGTGTAAGTCATTATTAAATGTTGCTTGACTAAAAGTCACATAATATACATCACTAATGTGCTACTCTCTCTTCAAAAATCTTCTTCAAAGATCTGCTTGACTCAGCAAGACATAGCTCAGCAGAGGAGTTAGGGGAGCAGAGGAGTACATAGTCTTTGTATTCATCCCCTTTTCACCAGTTTCCAGAATAACCCAGCTTGGAGGACTTGTTGAATATTCTGTTTTCTGGAGTGTTATTTCTC